ATCAAATCGGATTAATCAAATAAATAATAATATGGAGCCGCGGCTGGAAATAAAAGGGAGGAAAAAGAAGCATAAATCAATAACAGCAGCAGACGAGCAATATTTCAATTAGCCGGATCCAATTAATCATCGCGTTTTTTATTTTTTGTTCGTCCGTTTGCCGGCGCGTGTTGCCAACAGTATCGATCAGAGCAGCTCATCCGACGACAGATTCGCGGAAATATTCACTCGTCGCGACCATCAATCTTGCCGGCACCGAATCAAAACTAGTTTCTCGCCTTTTACAAATAAAGAGGAAAAGAGAGATGCGAAGTAAAAATAAAGAGCTCGGGAAAATTGTTCGTCCTGTTCAACCTCGAAAGTTTCTTTTCCCAGCTCGGCATAAAAAAAAGAAAATCGATTCTGGAAACTTTAAATTAAGATCAAATTTTGTTTTAAAGTGTTTCTGAATAATAACGAACAAAAAATGACGATATGCACAAGAGGTCAAAGGAGGTCATGTGGCGCGTCCGTTTATATTTCCAGACGAGTTTTAATCACGAGTTGCGTCGCCGACTCAGTTTCCAGACTTCCTTTTCCGCCCCGTGCACGATGAATTAATCATATGAATCGCCCGTCGATTGGCGAGAGAGGTGCGTCGATTCGGAGGAAAAAGGGCGGCGGCCGTGAATTATCCGGCCGGGGAGCAAACGAGAAACAAACTCCATTAATTTGCAACAATATGTTCGGCCCTTGGACTCCCCTTGTGCAGAATATTTACGAGGTCCGCAGTGGGAGGAGAAAACAAACTTTTCGCTGCGGCCAAAAGTTGGCAAATTTCGCCCAGTATAATATTCAAAAGTTTCGTTATTTTTGGTTTGCTCGAGCGAGGAAAAATGAAAAAAAAAATCCTGCTGCGAGAGTGTGGCGTGAATTGGGCCGTCCGAAGCTGTTCGGGTGATTAAGGGTGCTTTTCTCGGTTTGCTCCCCTCGGGCGCGCGGTGGGCTCAGCCCAGGTTGACTGTCGATTTCCTGATGCCACTCCCGTATAAAAATAGCAGAACATTTTTTCCGAACTGAATGAATATTTGAAAAAAAAATACTTTTAACTTTTTAATTCCGGATTAATTTTTTTTCTTAAGTCTTACCAAGGATTTTTTTTTAGTAAAAAACATAACTAGAAAGAAATTAAATAGAAAAACAATCACCTTAAAATTTTGTTCCTTTCATTGTTTAATTTCCTTTACCCTCTGTTTGATTCCAAACTCAAATCTCTGATAATTTAAAAAAAAATCCGGGTGAAATTTTGTTTTTTCTTTCTTGGAACGAGGTGGAATGAGGAAATGTGGTGCGAATGAATAGGGCCGGTGATCCAGCTTGCGATTCTTGGCGTCTGGAGATCTTTTATGCATGTCGATTCCTCTCTCGGTGTATCATATTGCCTTTTCGACGTCTGCCGGCGGTTATTGAATTTCCGCGAAACGCGTGCAAACGCAAATTGGACGCATTGCTGCGGGCTTTCTTCCTCTCTCTCTCTCTCCAAAGAAACTTTGAAATCGTTTCCTAACGAAGAGCAAAGTTTCTGAAAGCAACCCCGCCGCGTGCTCTTGCAAATTGCAACAAGGCAGAGACACTCGTGTTTATACATTCGCTAATGGTGCTCCGGCGAAAATTATTTTCCCGCCGTCTGTCTGTCTGCCGCGGTGTTCATTAAAATCCGTCACGTGTAAAAAAAGCAATCTCGCAAATAACATCTCTCTTAAAACTTTGACGGTTTATTTATATATTTTATTTGCGGTCTCTCTTATCAAGAAGTGTAGCTTTTGGGCGGCTGAAATATTGCGTCGGCCGCTTTGCAATTACGCCCGAGTGCACGCCGCCCTGACCATCGATCATCCCCTCGTCCATTTTTTACGCGCTTTTTCCCCAAACGTGTGCGTTGTACTGATTTCACGCAGCATTTGGCCGAACAAAAAGCCTCGAAATTCGAAATGCAAACTGGGAAAGTAATTCAATTTTAAACGAAATGAAAGCCCAATTTTCCAACTGGAATGAAACAAGTCGTTTGAAAATAAAAATCTAATTATTTTGCTTTGTTCGTTACCTCTAAAAAATAATCTCGCTCTTTTATGAATTTTCCATCTCGATCAACAGAATAACTTTCGAGCAGGAAATCAACTCGAGTGCGCCACGCGCCAAAAGATGATAATTTCTGAGCCCATATCAGAATTCTATACTAAATTTTGCAATTATTAGATAAGGGGCAAGGTCAGATTGAACAGATTTTGCCTGCAGAATTTTATTTTTTATTTGAATGGTAATTACGGCGGTGGTCAGAGGCTGTTTGTTGTGACAACGCGGGCGCAAACCCTTATCCGTATCCTATATTTGTACTCACTCACAACATTATATCTTTCCGTGTGTGTGGAGCGCAGCAGTGGCACGCGGGCGGCGATCAATAATTATGACAAAGGAGCCGGAGAGCGACCCGCGCACACAAACGCATTAAATCACAATTACCTTTAGAGCCGGGCGAAAATAAAAAATGATAATGGCTCAACGGGGCTGGTGCAGCGGCGTGCGGTTGACACAAAGAAGACGCCAAACACCAACTTGATGGATTTATATAGTTGATGTAAGGTCATTCAAGCATTTATGCAATAATTACAAGTTAATTTAAGGACAAAATTAAATGTATAGAAAAATTTGAAATTGCAAACTGTTCAAACAAAAAATGCTGAAACAATTACCAAGCTGACTTTAATCATGAAAGAATTAAAAAATAAAATTAGGTTACAAGTAAAAAAAAGGAAAAATTTAATTGCAAAATTTCTCGTTTTATTTTTCCATGTGCGGCTTTACATAAGAAAATCCAACCCTCTTTGAAGAATGTTCAATATTTCATCATTTTTTTAATGTAAAATAATTAAAGCGTATCAGAAATACAAGTTAGAAAAAATGAGGTTTAAAAAAAAATAATAATTTTTCTCTAAGTAACTTGACACCATCTGCACCCCTTCTGATACCAGTGGGGGATGCTTTTGAGAGGGAAGTGTCATTTTATCCATCTTGCTGTAGTCGATCGCCTCGCATAGGGGTGCGATTTGCATTTTTGCGGAGCGCCAAATCCTCCCTTTCCGTCCTTGACGCTTGTAATTATGCAATTATTCTAATTTTATTGCACGCGCGCGCGCGACAAGCCAAAAGTGTGAGCCGAGATACGGCCCAAAGGGGATTAACGCCTCTCGTTCCTTTTTACATTCTCCGCCTAGACCAGAGAGAGAGAAAAGTTCGCGGACAAATTTCGCGTCTGACTCGTTTTGCGCTCACAGTTTTGCCTGACACGATTCCTGGTCAGAAACGAAAATTTGAGCACGCATGAAAGTGAGATGGATAGTTTCGTGGTTTGCCCTCGCCAACTAATTTTGAACCAGACAAACTCTTCATTGTGCAAAATGAAATGGAAATTTAAAGTTGAAACGGGCAAAATACAAATGAAAATTTTTGGATCTTTTTGCAACATTTTATTTATTTTAATATATATTTAATTTGAAATTATCTCTTTAATAATCTTTCCTTATAAAATAGAAAATTTACTGGTAGAATATTGTTATATTGTTTAAGAAAAAACAAAAACGTGCTCTACATGTTTCGGCTGCGGGCTGCAGCCAAAATTCATAAGCTGTGAAATTATTTTGACAAGAATCAGTACAAAATTCATACTTTAAAAAAATATTTAGTTTTCAATTTTTTTGTGAAATTTAAAGCTTCATTTTTACACAAAACAATTTTTAATACAAAATTATCTGAAATTTTTTAGCATTGAATTAATTTTTATAACAATTTTGGTCAGAATATTGAATTTAAATTAAAATCACCAAAGAATAGGAAAATCAAATTTTCAATCTTATCCAACTTCCTTGCAAACCAGAACCACTTAAATGCGTCTTACAACAATATCGAGGAACAAAAGTTTTATCTGGAGCCGCTATGATTATTTTCGTTTGCCGGCAGCGCTGGTAAATAAACTCGTCACCAGCAGAGTAATTATGCGAGCGCGAGTTTGCTCGTCAGCGCAGAATGGAGCTCTCGGCATTGTTGTGAAAATGTCGAGCCGCCGAGCGAGCGAGCACATGTGCGCAGAGGTGACGCCAAATTGCTCTTTGCTCCTTCAGCGCAATTTAACTTTTCGAATTAATTTCCTCTCGCGGCACAAAATTTATATACAAACAACTCCATAAATTGTAATATTTCGTCATGTAAGGAAATAATTTATCAAAAAAATTATCGCATTTTAAATCGACTATATTTTTCCCTGTTTTGAACGGTTTATTTGCTCCGAGGCAATCAAAGGTCGATTGGATAACGATTTTCAACATTAAAAACAAGCGAGACTTTCGTGCCGAGATAAACCAGAGAAATATTTTCGATGCTGTGTCGCTCTTTCTCGCATCATTTGCAAGCATTGATCGAGCCTGTTCGCGCAGCGTCCATTGTCGCGACAGGGCCATTGTTCTCGCCCGTCTAGCTCGTCGCGCAACCAGTTTCAAGTTTGCAACTAAATCCACCTCAAAGCTCGGCCGAAATTCGGCGTGGTCGCCACCGATAAATAAAAGCCCTGATTTGCGGCGCTCCCTCGAGACTGCAAACACGGAAAGTCTCTGCGAACGGAAAAACAAATAAATCGCCGCTTTTTGCCGAATCGATTTTCGCCTTTTCGCAAACCAAGTCACTTGCAAACAGAGATAACAAAAAATGAAATAAAATATATAAGAGAAGACGCGCCCTTTTGCAGGCCATTTTATCTCTCTTCAAAGGAAGAAATAAAGAAAGAAAGGGCTGCATTCATGCGCCAGACCAACAGAGCGCGTCACAATAAAAGCAGCCTCTTCATTCCGACGCAACATCTGCCGTCCAAATTGGCCGCTCATCTCAACTCTTTCAATTTTAATTTTCAAGATAATATCTTTTTTGCTTTTGTGAGCAACAAATCAAATAAATAGAATAAAATTTTGTTTCAGGTGATGGGCCTGGCTGACTGAGGGAGCAGACTGATGGCCATGAAGACGCTGGTGGTGCTCGCGCTGGTGGGCCTGGGGGCCGCGCTCGGCCCCATCAACCACCACCTGCAGCAGGAGCTCGACATGGGCAGTCCCAACAAGTGAGTTTTATAATAACTTTTATGACGTAATTCCGAGAGAGACGGACTGGCTCTCTCTGCCGCAGACGGACAAGTTTCTTTCTTTCTTTCTATACTGTCGAGTTACAACTTTTTGTACGCTCACGCAATAATAACGTGTCTGTTATAGTGACTTAGGATTTACTGGAAAATGGGTTAAACTTCAAATTGAGACTTTCTCAATGAGAAATTGTTTCAAAGATAATCTTATTACCTAAAACTATTTGTTATTTGTATTTAAAAGGTTTTAAAATTTGATGATTTCACTGATATTAAATATTATATTTAAAATGTGGCCGTCAGGGCAGTAATTGAACAAAATTAAAAGCAAAACAAATTTAGAATTAACCAATTTTTATGTGCAAATTGAGTTATTGGAATCGAACTATTATATTTCTCACAAATTCACATAATATTGTTATGCATTTTGTAAAACTATCCTTTTTCTAATTACTTATTCTATACCATTATTGCCTACTGTGAACAAAAAATCTTCTTTAAACCCAATTTTAACTTCAACCTTTAACCCTTATAGTTTTCTCTTTGTAATAACATATTTTGAACCCATTTGTTGGAACAATCTTATAATTTTCATAAAACATTTTTCTATTATTTTAAGCATTCCTCCAAATCTAATCAATTAGTGCTTAAAACCACAGCTATCACGTTGATGACCTGAAAACCGTCAATGTTCAATTTAAAAATTTATATTTATGGTTTTGCATTGATAAATTTCATAAATCTTATTAATAATCATTTATTACAGGAAAACAATAAAGGCTTGCATTAAAAATTAGCCACAAAATTTATGTATTTAATTTTAAGGCCTTCTTCTTACTCATTGTTACTGAGCTTGGAACCAATGCGTAATTATTTTGATTTTTATTTTAATCTAAATTTCAGTGTTAAATTTACGGTTTTCAAATTTTAGTAGAAAAAAAACCATCTTTGACTTGGAAATAAAGAGATATTTGATTTCTGTCGCAGTTTGGCGGCGACCGCGGTGGCGGCGGCGATGGAGGACGGAAGCGACTTTGACTTTGAGTCGGGTCGGGCGCCCGAGTGGAAAGTGGCGGCGACGGTGTCGTGGCCGAACGGCGACTCGGAGCGCGTGCAGCGGCTGTGGGGCATCGCGGACACGACGGCCGCCGTCGGCCACCTCTTCTCCTTCACGGTGCCCGTCGACGCCTTTTCCGGCGAGGTCACCACCGTCGAGGCCGTCGTGGACAAGGGCAAGGCGCTGCCCCGGTGGCTCCTCTTCGAGGCGGCCAGCGGCCACTTCGAGGGCGTGCCCGAGGCCTCGGACGTGGGCGAGGTGTACGTCCGCGTGGTGGCGAGGGGCGGCGCCGGCGAGACGGCCAGCGACGTCTTCGCCATCAACGTCGTGCCCAAGAGCACCTACCAGGTCCCCGAGTGCGACGCCGGCCAGGACCGTCTGCAGATTTCGGTGCTTGTCGACGCCCAGCTCGCCAAAATCAGCCCCAAGAGCAGGGTGGCCGCGGTCAGGAACCTCGCCGGATTCCTCAGTGTCTCGCCTGTAAGTTGCAAAAACTTGTTCTCAATTCAAAATCTTATTTTTCTTTTATAATTATTACCTCAAATTGTCCTTGAATTACAATATCTTGAATAATTGCATTGTTAAAAAAAAATTGTACCTTTGTAATTACAAGCCATGTTTTAGAGATTTTCGTGAAAGTTGGTATAAAATTTGCAATTCCCTTCATGGAACTGCTGATTCGTTTTGCCCAATTTCCCCGGAATTTTAATTACATCAAAAAATTATTTAAACGCAGACATAATCGTCCTCTTTGAAAATATTTGACAATGTAAATTAAAACTAAATATGAATCCTCATTAAGATTTCTTTGAAAAATTAAAACGGAAACTGGAATAAACTTAAAAACACAAACACGACACACAAAAATACAAAAATATAACACACTTACTAACAAAATTAACAAAAAACTAAATTGCTTAAAAATGGGGCAAAAATTGTTGGAAAAGTACGTCAAATAATTTTAGAGAATTTTCACCAATTTTCATTGAAATCGGGATATCTTATCTAAACCAAATAGCTTGTTAAATATGAAAGTTTCCTGGTTGAAGCAGAAGATGCAAATTTTTTCACCTTTAGTATCATAATCTCTATTTTAACTCGCAATCAGACATTTTTTTTCTATCCAATTTCAGGACACAGTGAAAATGCTGAGCCAAGATTCCGAAAGTGCTGTTTCTCTGCACGACGAGACGGTGGTGGCCGCCGGCGCTGGAAACTCCAAGCACGGCCGCACCACCCTCAACCCAGCAGTGGTGCTCAAGTTCCCTTCGACCTGCGCCAGCCCTGGCCATGCCCTCCTGCTGGAGCGACTGCAGGCGCTGGCCATGGACGGCACCCTGGCAGAAGTGCTGCAGCTGCCTGTGATAGGGTGGCTCGCCCAGCAAACCACCCCAAGACTGCTCACGACCAAAGCCCCGGCCAGAGAGAGGAGACAGGCACTTCTGGTAAAACTTTTTTCTCTTCAAAATTATTCGAATTTCTATTCCTGGAATTTTGAAATTACAAAAATCCTAAATCACTCATTTGGCGGGAAAAGCAGAAATTAAAAATAAATTGGAAAGAACCATTAAAATTAAATTATAAATTACAACTAATTTAATATTTTGTGTCTTTTAGGCTGAGGGGTCAGGTGGTGGAGACGACGACTCATATGACTATGGCAGTCCTGATGAAGATGATGAAGAGGAGGACTCGGTGACGCCGGACTCGCGTGAGGTGCCCACGATGGCGTCGCCCATCTTTCCGGAGGCGACGGCGACCACCCCTCAACTTCAGTCGCAACACCCCCGTCGCCACCACCACGGCGAGGGTGAGGACGAGGACGAGGTGGCCGTCAGTCCTGCCAACAGCCCTGCTCTAGTCGCCTCCATCGTCCCCACCCCCACTCTGGTGCCCATCAGACCGACGCGCCTCTCTGATCTGGTGACCCCACCTGACCAGGTTGAGGTTTCCATCGAGCCCAGCAGGGTGGGCGTCGAGGACTTCATGCCCGTCACTCCCTCCTTCACACCCTCCTTCTCTCCCGAGCCGGATTATGGCGAATCCGTTGAGGTTGACGAGCTTTCAACCTCGGAAGGTTCATCCAGTCCTCAGGTCACGCAGCCGCTGCCTGCCCTGCCTTCCAGCACTCCCAGCTCAACGTCCGAGGAGCGCTCTTCCACCACGGAGCAGGGCAGCAGCAGCAGCAGGGTCACCACTGAGGAGGTCGAGTACGGCACCAAGAACTTTGCCCCCACCATCAAGCAGCGTCTGCGCAAACAGCCCGTGGTGGCCGGCAAGGTCTTCAGGTTCACCATTCCTGAGGACTCTTTCCAGGACTTTGAGGACGGCAACACCAAGAAGTTGAGACTTATTTTCAAGAGCGCCGAAGGCACAGCCCTCTCCTCCAGCTCATGGATCCAGTTTGACACCGCCACTCAAGAGGTCTACGGACTTCCTCTTGAGGAGCAGGTAACTAAAAACTTTCAATGATGCCCAAACAAATTATTTGAAAATTTAAATCAGAATCTGCATACCCGAAGAAAAAATAAACGGTACCATTAATAATTGATCATTTTCTCAATTTACCAATTAATTTTTTAATTTTAGATTTTGGGTGGGCAATAGAGAGAGGTAGAATCTTACAATTTCAAACCCCTTTAAATTTCATCAATTGTTTCCAAATTTTCAGATTTTTCACACCTCAAGTCCCCCAAGTAAATGAAACAATTACATTGTGTTTGATTAATTTCTTAAATTCTAGGTGAGCAAATGGAACTTCTATGTAGAGGCGATGGACAAGGAGGGCAAGACTGTGACAGACACTTTGGAGGTTGTGGTGCAGCACCACAAGGCGACGCGCACCGTCAACCACGAGTTCTCTCTGCAGCTCAAGATCGACAGCAAGTTCGACTTCCCCTCGTCAGTCGACTGGCAGATGAACGTCCTGAACGGTCTGACCAGGTTCTTCGGCGACTCCAACGAGAACCACATGACCGTGATCAACGCCACCGCCAGCATGAGCTCCACAGACAACATCCTCTTCACCTGGACCAACGACTCGCTGCCCAAGGAGGAGTGTCCGTCGCACACCCTCAAGCAAATGTACTCGGCCATGACCATCAACGACAAGGGCGATCCGTCCATGGCCCTCAAGGAGGCCATTGGCAAGACCTTCACCATCAAGCACGTCACCTTCAGAGGCTTCAGCAAGTGTGAGTCGCTCGTTCTCGGGCCCCAGCCGGCCACCAGGCAAAAGGAGACGCCACCTGACTCAGGGGACAACAACTTCTCGCCCGTTCTGCGCAACCAGGTTGACCAATTGACAGCCGTCGCTGGGGAACTCCTTGTCTACAGAGTCCCTGAGGTAATTTGATAAAATTTCCAATCAAATCGGTACCATGTGTTTGACTGGAAATATCAGGGAAATATATTTAAAATCCTATTACAGTCTGATTTTGTCTCAAACAATACGAAAAGATTATGCACAGAATGGAAATTTAAGATTTTGCCAAAATTAAAGGCATTTATCACAAAAAAATAATGCTTTATAAACATATTGCATTTAAAACCAATTGTTTTTAGGACACCTTCTATGACAATGAGGACGGCAGCACCAGGAACATGAAGTTGAACCTTCTGCTGATGAACAGGTCGCCCGTCGAGCCTACCAACTGGCTGCAGTTCGATGTGAAGAACCAAGAGTTCTTCGGCGTTCCTGAGAAACATGACAAGGGCACTAGGGAGTACCAACTGGTAAGTTTTGGAAAATTGCCAATTCAACAAATTACTTAGTTAAATTGTATTCAAAAGGTATGCGAGGACAGCAGCGGAAAGACGGCCAACGACGGTTTGGTTGTGACGGTGCAGCCTCCTGAGCACAGACCCCACCACGTTGAATTCAGGATGACCCTAGCCAAGCCTTCGCTTTCTGAAGTTGAAAAGAATGCAGCCAACAAGAGAAAACTGCTGGAGAGGATTGCCGAGTTGTTCGGCGACTCGGACACGAGGAACATTGTCCTTGACAATCTGCGCCAACCACCCTTCCAGCACCACTCTGGACCCAGCCCTACTATTGAAGTTTTGTGGTAAGAACAGTTTCATCTAATTTAAATTCAATGTTCAAGCCGGTTCTAGCTATTTTTGTGTTACAAGTTTTTTTCTCAGTTTATGTCTAAATTACAATAATTTTATATATAATATAACACAATCTAATCACAAAGTTTGAAATGAAGGTTTTGATGGTAAATAAAATTTTTTAAGTAAATTCACTTCATTTTTATGCACAAAAATTTATTTTTTTTTAAAAGCATTTTTTTAATAGTTTCAATCTAAAAAAATCAATTATGCCTCCATTCGATTGTAAGCATTTAAAAAATTTATCTCTTTTCTTCCTAACTTGATTTGCTATGAAGTTGCAAAAAAAATATTAAAAAAAAATTTAATGAAATTGAAGGAGCAAATAATTTTACTTTTGACATTTTTGCTTTCAGGTACAACAAGTCGATGCCAACAGACCGTTGTCCAGAGGCTGAGGTGGCCGGTCTGCGGCGCATGATCATCTCAGAGGAGGCCGTGGGCCACAGCAACCCTTCCATCTCCGCTTCGCAGCTGTCGCCGCGCGTGGCCGAGGTCATGCGCTCCGACTTCCACGTCCTCAAGGTCATGATGGTGCCGACGGGGGTGTGCCAGGGCGAGTTCACCTTTGAACACTCGCCGGTGACGCCCGAGCCGCCGCCCGACGACGACCTCAACACCTTCGGCAGCAGCAAGGCCTCGGACGACTACCTCATCACCTACATTGTGCCGGCCGTGGTCATCGCCTCGATGGTGCTGCTTGCCCTGCTGGTCGCCTGCACCCTCTACAGACGCAGGAGGCGCGGCAAACTGGCCGTCGGCGAAAGGAGCGGCCCAGGCACTCCGGGCTTCCGAACCAGGGGCATTCCTGTCATCTTCCAGGTACGAACATTTGTATTTCTGTCAAAAATAACAATTAAAAAAAAAAACTAAAATATAATATAAAAAATAATGAGGGTTGATTTTTATGAAATTATTTATTTTAAATGTGGATGGATAAAAACTTTCCATTTTGTTTATTTAAACTGAGGTAATCATTCTCAATTTAAATAAAAATTTTAAACTTTTGTTATCAAATATTTAAAATTGATATGAAATTTATGTAGGACGAGCTTGACGAGAAGGCTGTGGAGCCTGTGGCGAAAAGCCCGGTGATCATGAAGGAGGAGAAGCCGCCGCTGCCGCCTCCGGAGTATTCGGTGCCCCTGCTGGGGATGTCGCCGCACCCGACGCCGCCCATGATGCAGCAGCACCGCCACCCAACCGCCGAAGACCCGCTGCTCTCGGACGAACCCGAGGCCTCACCCTACCAGCCGCCGCCGCCCTTCGCCAGTGGCCGCGAGAACGGCCGCCAGAGCAGACCCAAACCCACCCCTACCTACAGGAAGCCACCCCCGTACGTGCCGCCCTAACCGGGGGCGCCGCCCCAAGCACAGGAATGGCGGGAGCTTTCTGTTTAGTTTCCAAAAATTAATTCTATCAAAGGGCAGCTTTTGACCAAATTTCCTATTTCTCCGAAAGCGATGTTCATTTTTTTCCACTTTTAAGTTTACACAAAATGCTGCTGCAAAACAAGTCAAATTACAGAGCTTTTGTAAGGAAACGAGCTCGCTTTTTAAAGCTTACTTTTTTTTAACATTTTGAAATCCCGAATCGACCATTCCTGTTGTAAGAGAAAAGGGTCCTCTTCCTCCAGCGTGCAACACACAATATAAATATTTGACGTCCACAAGAAGGCTCTTTTAGTGCCGAACTACGAAAAACAAACTCTAAATCGCTGTTGAGAATAAATTTGGTTTTGCCGCAGCCTAGGGAGAAAAAAATCACTAACTACGAAACTAAAGTTAGCTGTTAGTTACCAAAGACTCAAAAACTACTGCCGAGCGTGGGTGTGTGCGCGCGCCGAGTGTGCCGACTGACCGACCTGCAGCGATATTAGCCTTAAGTTTTCCTTATTATCATTAAAAAAATTAATTAATAATTAACGAACTGAGTGTAAAATGTTTGTGTCGGTTTTATTCATCTCTTTTTTGATGTTTTCCACTCTCACTTATTAGTGTTTCCACATCTATATAATATCTCTGGACAATATGTAAAATTTTGACGGAAAAAAGCAAGCCCGATGAAGAGTCTCTCTTATCAACTTAATTTATCTTCCATCCAATTAGTTTCTGCTCCGCCGTTAGAATTTTATTTTTCTATAATCAATGATTTTTTTTTTGTTCTAAGCAGAGGCTTTTTGAGGGCAAATGATTGCTTGTTTTGTGTACAGTGCGAATTAATATCAACAAAATGTCTAAAACAATTCACTATCATCAAAAGTGTGAGTGAAAAATTAGCAAATGTGAAAGCTTGAGAAAAATAATCATTTTGTACTTTATAATTGTGACGCCATTTAAAGATATAAAATTATTACTGTAGCAAAAAAATCTTCGACAATGAAACATGTGGGTGGCTTGCGTTGACTTGTGCCACTCAAATATTAATAGGTCCATGCAAAAAAAAATGTATCTGAATGTTCAGGTGGCATGTGCTGAGAAATGTATTTAATCGAGAATAAATGGCAAAATAAAATTATCAATAGAATTTTAGATTGATATAGATTTTTTATTTTCACTTTGTTCACCCACCAGAAATCAATTTTTTTTTTTAACTGGGTAATTAATAAAATAATAATAAAAAAATAAGGTTTGTACATGACTCAGGGTAATTTGTAAAAAATTTATTGTGTTGGAATTGTTGCCAAATATTATATTTTTCTATTAATTTAGATTTTGAAACGCGCAAGTAATTGCATTTTTTTTTAATTGTCAAAAGCGATAAAAAAGCCAAGAATGGGAAAATCGCAATTATTAAAAAAAAATAGCTGTTTAAAAGTCATTATTAGTTTGAATTTGTAAAGAACGAAAGAATTTTTAAAATATAACTGAAATTTGCGTCTTGCAGTAGCTCTCCGTGGAAAAATGCAGAACGAGACCGACGTCTGAGGCTTGCTGCCACCCCGAACCTGATGAACCAAGCCCCATCCATTACGAAAACGGACCTGATCGACGTGCTGAAGCGCCTGCTGCCCAGGGAGCCGTCGCTCAAGACAATCAAGATTTTCTGCCACCCTCTGAACACCAATGCACCAAGGTATCCTGTACAACGTAGGAGCTGATAGACACGCTGGCGCTCGGGTCAATTTTTTTCTTTCACCACCAGAAATCAATTTTAGCATTTAAAACTGGGGAAATTCGCGAAAACTAGTCTTCTATTTTTTTTTAAATTCAATTCAATAATTCAATTCATAATCCACGTACTTAATTTATATCTCAATTAAAGTCTTAATTTTTGCACCGCATTTTCTAAAAATCAATTTTGTAAAATTTTATTGGGTTAATTGCAAATATACATTATTTTTTTCATGTGAATGTATGGACATTAGAAGCTGGATTGGTCGAGGACGACATTTTTCCATTTCAAGACCCCAGGCCGCCCGGGGTCTTCTAATGTCCATAGTGAATTGCAACAATGACATTTTTGTAAATTCAAAAAACCATAACTGTCAAACAATCGAAAATTGCAACAGTGGAAAAAAAATAAGATCTTTAAAGTCATTCTTCTTTTGATTTTTGTAAGGTAAAAGTTTATTTTTTTGAATGACTTTGAAAGAATTTCTGTGAGTGAAACTGAAATTTTCGCCCTGGGGCAATACTTTCAACAACAGCCCGTCTGTGACCAACCCAGCCGGAAATGTATTGCGGCAGGCGCTGCAGATGAGCAATTCAGATCTGACCTCAGCTCGACCTGATTTCTGCCTGGATCTGGCGGCAATAACGCTCAGCCCCCATAATATGTGAGTTTCAACTGCCTTCTTAAGGTTTCCAGTTAAGAACTTATTTAACAATTTTCCACAGCCCTGGGTCAACACACACAATTAACAACAGCCCGTATATGTGACCAACCCAGCTGGGAATGACTTGCGGCAGGCGCTGCAGATGCTGAATGATTCAGGTCTGACCTCAGCTCGACCTGAATCTGGCAATAACGCTCAGCCCCCATATGTGAGTTTCAACTGCCTGTCTTAAGGTTTCCAGATAAGAACTTATTTAACAATTTTCCACAGCCCTGGGTCAACACATTCAACAACAGCCCGTTTGTGACCAACACAGCCGGGAATGTATTGGAGCAGGCTCTGCAGACAAAAATGGTTCCGGTCTCATGACCACAGCTCAACCCCAATCTGTTGGAATCAGCATCAGCACTCTACACCCAAACGTGAGTTCAATACAATAACCTTAATCGAGGCTTTCAGCTATAAATTATTCTTTGCAATTTTCTCCAGCGCCGATGGATTTTTATTGAAACTCTCCAGAATTCATGTTTTTGTAATTATTGCATGGCTTTATTGCTAATAATTTATTAAATTAATATTTATTTTTGAATTTTTCTTTTAAATCCCAACCATCAACTCCTTGTTGTTTTGCATAAAGACATTCACATCACTGCCTGCAATGCAAACCCACTAGAGTTCCCACAAAGGTAATTTTATCTACACAATTTATACCCGACCTATAGAATAATTAACAATTTATTTAAGCACAATTTAAAAAAATACGTATTTTGCATCGCACTTTAATTTTTAAATATATTTTTTGCCAATAAATTCCTGCAAAAAAGCATCAGCCCAAGAGCATGCCAATTATTATTATTATAAATTAATTGCAAGCAATTTCTGCAACGAACTGATTTTTTTGCAGTTTGTTGCAGGAGACAAGCCCTATAAGTTTCTGAGGGTGGAATGTGATCAGCACTTCTCCCGTGCAGATCACCTCGAAAGACGTGTGCTGAAACACACCAGGGCCAAAAACTCTGCAGATGTGCAAATGCGGAAGGCCTGACCACTTAGCGCATCACAAAAAGAACATTCACCAACCTAAGGAGAACATGAAGATTTAGGGATAACTCGCTGTTCACACCCAAAATACATAACTTTATCTTTATTTTAAAAATGAAGCTTTAACTTTTGTTTTAATTCAAATATATACAAAAAACACTTTGTCGAGCTGATTAACACTTAAGACAGCGAAGCGCAATAAATTGTGAGCGAGATGCAAAATGATGGAGTTTGAGAAGGAGCTGCAGAATGTCAAAGGTCTGCTGGGGCAGAAGGAGGAGGACCTGAAGCGGCTGCGCAAGGAGAGCAAATCCTTCCTTGTTGCTTTCATCCTCATGATCTTGGCCTTCCTTGTTTTTGGCCTTGTTTTTGAAATGTTCTTCGATCAACAGCGAGAGAACAGTTTGCGCGAGTCAAGGAAACCGTCGATTGCTTGAGGGTCACAGACGAGGTCATCAAGGACACCGGCGGTGCCTGCTGACTAACCAGTCTGAAAGACTTGTTTCACCATCCTAATTTTATAATTTTCATGCAAAAATGCGGTCCGCTTTTTTAGTGCATAAGTTTTGCGCCGCCGTGTCATCTAATGCTTGTCTCCTTTTGTTGGAATGCTCAACCAGACGTTTTTTTTTTATTGATGATTTAAATAAATTTGATGGAAAAGATTTTCAATTGAGATATATAACACAGTAAATGATACAAAAATTAAAATCCAAAAATATATTTTACTTTCAAGAGGACCACTTTCATCGTATAGCACCCGCATTGTTAAAATGAAACTATAGAAATTATTTTTAAGACATTATAATGTTTTCTCAAATTTTTCATTTAAAAATTTTTTATTTTCCTCCACAGTCGAGATACGAATCCTTAACGGAGTATGAATTTTGATGATTTTAAAGATAAGATATCTTTGCATAACGTGTGCAATTTTAGCAAATCAAATATTTTTTGCTTACTATTGTTACAGGACTTCGATGCCAAAAATGTCATCCTATAATTCAATGCTGCAAATAAAGATATAAAAATAAATCAATTTTTACTTTTTTTTCTTCAAATCCTGCAACACTAAATTATTCAATTCCTCTCAGTTTATCCTAAAGTCATGCAGCACTTACGCGATGCAGTGGTCCAGCACTGAGGAAGATGGATCTTCTAAGTGCCTCTCTTCTTGGTCATGGCATCGAAACTGTGGTGGACAATTATTTCAACTATTTTGTTATACTGAAGATCATCCCGCCTTTGTCCATCATAAAACTCGATGATTTCAGTTCAGAGTTGAAGATCCTCAGGGTTGCACATGGAGAGGCGCAAAGGCTTGCTCTACATCGCCGGATCGAATTGATGCAAATTTGGTTTGGTAGTCCTTTTCATAATTGCTTGTATAGGGTTGTTTTTGACGAAATAAGTTTTGTCTCTCCTGAAAAGTTTTATCAAAGTACCGAGTGACGAAGTTATGTAAAGATGCTCTCCCTGCTCAATGGGCCTCAGAGCTCGAACAACTGCAGTATTCTGGTGAAGAGAGAAATGCACATTTTCTTCACAAGTGCTCTTTTATAACTTATAGTAGTAGAGTCAAGAAGAAAAAAAAAGAGTCAAGAAGAGTATAATTATGTATATTCCTGAGATATTTTTGTAATTAGTTGCAAATTGTGTTTATTAATGTACCACCGGGCATTTTCTGCCCAAATACATAAGTAATTATGAAATTTATTCATTTATGGATTTATGCACGCACTCTTACACAAACGCAAGGAAAATACACAATACATAACATAACCCCAACAATAAATCTTGTCCAAAAATAATAATTCTGCTTTTATATTAATCTCTTTTACATATAGTATATTGTGTACGGTACAACTTCAAAAAACCGTGTGGCCAATGCGGCGTCAATTTCCCGCCGTCGAATGACGCGCCATCTATCAAATCAAAACTACGATCAGTGCAATCCGCACCGTATGGCTAATATTTACATCGGGGTGATCGGAGGATCTGAGACTAGTGGATAGAGCGAGAGATGTAATAATTTAATTCCCTCGCTTTTAATTTAACATTTCTTTGATTTCCATTTAAAAAGATTTGCCCTCCTTTTCTGCTTGCGAGAATGAATCGTGGCAACGGCCTGTTCCACCAACGACTCAGAACTAAGAGAATAACTTGATTGAACGCGGGTCTCCTCCTTTGTTCAATCGTATTCTCTCAGTCTCTCTTTTCTGCAATTTCCTTCTTCTCCACTCAACTTCTTACTTTTCTTCTCTTAAACTATTTCTCTCTCTCTACTCTACCTAATCTTAAACTAAATCCCACGGGAAACTCCAACTCACGAACGAAAACCGCAAAGAATTACAATTTAAACTGAACCTCTATTTATTCTACTTGCTAACTTCACGGTACTTTACACTTGAAACGGCCAACAGCGCCTCTACCGGCAAAGGGAGGAAGGGAAACAAACTAACTCGATGGGAGGAATCGGGCCTCGGTTACCGCCGCCGCCGACAGGGCGCGCTCGGTTCACCGGTTTACACAAAACTCGCAACTTCCACTAATCTGACAAAAATATGCAAATTAGCGGCGAAAACAATTCAACCGCTAATTATTCCGACAATTTCCACGCAAAACTAAACAATTTCGGGACTTACAACTCAAAAATCGGCGGGGTTCAGCACCACGTGCGGCCGACGTAACTTCTCAAACCGGGCAAAATTAACTAAAAATCCAATAAACTCACCAAATAAACGCCTAACCAACACCAGACCAACTCAGGGAACAATTCACACTACCAGAGAACTCGCAAATCTAGGCCGAAATTCGTCCGAAACCCGTCGGCAGCCAAGAGCTCGCGGCGCGCAGCTCTTGCTCCTTCAGCGTCTCAGCACGAACTCTCTCGCTCAACTGCCCAGCGCCAATGAGAGAACGCATCGGTCTGCTTCTACTCGCTTCCAGAAGGTTCCGGCCAATCAGATCGCGAGTTCTCAAATCGGGCCTTATATGGTCATTTTCTCCGGGGATTATCCAAACATGGACGGCGGAGATGAGAGAAAACGACAAAATGGGTTTAAATGACTTGAGCGGGCAATTAAACTCAAACCTGATGACTTATTCGGGTCGGGACTGGGACGAGTTGGCCGGCGGCGAATAAAAAGTGAGTCTATTTGCTTTCTTTCTTCTTTCCGGCGACAGCAAAAACACGAGGCGGTTTGTTTACTTTCTGATCGTTCCAATGTTGACCGGTAGATGGCCACGATCCGCCACTCACCGAGAAACCTCGGCGGACAATCGCGGGCTATTCAAGCGGGCTCTCTCTGGTTCATGCCCCCCAAGTTTTTGTCATATGTCTCGAAGAAACATTTGGCAAAAACTTACTAAAGGAGCTTAGGGCGAGGGAATCGGGTGGATGATGACTTGGATGAATGTAAGGACGACACTCAGCCAATCTCGGGTCAGCCAGGCAGAATGTGCGCAAGGGCAGCTTATCTGGTGGTTCTGAGGGAGGAATCATGTAAGGGGTAGCCCTGCTTGAACGCCTGTCAGACGACTTTCGCAGCCTGACCGCCCTGGATCCCACGTAGGTGTCCGATTGTCTCAGGACACATGGAGCAGTTTGGTTGTCATCAGCCTTGTCTTCCTTCAGAGTGATGTCCGGTCCATGCGGCTCATCCAAGATGTTGCACCTGGTGTTGAAGAGTGTCTTCTGCAGGGCAGGCTCCTTGGCGCGTACAGTTGTTGTCACTTGTGGCAGCAGGCCAAAACCAGAACCAGCATCAGCGTCTGCTAGCTTCGCAAAACGTCTCACTTCTGTGTAGTCGTGCTGTAATGAGGCTTCTGTTCCAATGGTCAGCATCTCGTCCTTCACACAATCCTCTAGCGCTAGCTGGTGGTCCTCGTTGATGATTGTGCACGTCTCCGGCTCATAAAACAGGTCACTCAGTCCTAGGTTGACTTCAAGGTCAGATCCAGGTCCCACATCTATGCTTCCTATCTGCGCCAGTACAGGGTCATCTCCAGGTTCGGGGTCCTTTTCTGGCTCACAGTCATCATTAGGGGGATTGGAGTTCAATTTTTTAATCAGCTGGTTCAGCTGATAATAGGACAATTGTAGGTACAGGGAGGGCTCTTCCTTCCTGAAATAGGCTTGGGGTGTTGGAAACAGTTCCGTTTCACACCTGGGAACATTGGCGGTGTGTTGAGGGGATAAAGAGAGCAATTGATTAGCATCAGAAACATGTTGGTCATGAAGTGGAGGCTGAAGATCCTCATTCACTGCCAAAGAGCTGGAAACTTTGCCGTCTGACTGCTCACCTATACTAACTGCTGCTAACGGCCCCCCATCCTGTGGGTGCTGAGAAAGCTCGGCAACACCTTTCGGAGAATCTTCAGGACTCGCCAGTTCTTGTTGTGTTGATGTCAAAAGGTCACCACTAGAAATACTCTCTGAAGACGTTACTGCTCGGTCATGGACACCAACAGTGTTCTGCGCTCTTTGTGCATGAAGATCAATGTGTGCACCATGAGCATCACTGTTCGAACCTGGGTTGAAAGGAATACCACAATTGGCAACATTGTCAACAGGAGCACTATGAGCACCAACAGGGCTAATGTACGAAGAAGCGTCACTATCAAAAGGATACTGCAGGCTCTGAGGGAAGAATTGCGTGCGGAAAGCCGAAGCAAAAGTCGCATAGGAATAACCTGGTGGCGTGTACACCTCAAAAGACTTAAACCATAGAGCTGCATGAGCCTCCAGAAGTACCTTCATCATGGACCGGCAAGCAACGTCAATGGAGACGGGAAGATGCAAAGCATACGTCTCAAACTGAGCTAAAAAATCCACTGGGTCAACCACGTCACCAATACCTTTGAAATGTGGTGGCTTTTTGTGCAGCCAAGAGGACGATGCTGGAATGTGTGCAGTATTCACCGGTTGGATACCTACAGCGGCCTGTGGAGAGGGCTGAGCACCGCTGGCACCAAAAGCAATATTCCCCTGTTGAGCACCAAAAGTTTGCGGCACCAAAGCATGCGCCGGTTGAGCACCAAAAGTTTGACGAAGGTTGTTGTTCACCATGGAGGCTGGTGTAACATGAGCACCATATGCATTCTGCCCGCCATAAGCATACAGATTGCCGTGGGCTGCATGAGCACTATTAGAATTGGCTGGGAAGGGAACTGAGTGGGCACCACTAAGGTGAAAAGGGAGGTGAGCACCACTTGCTCCGCCAAGCTGAGCACCATTTGGAACCATTGGGACACTATGAGCACGAGCTGAGTTGACAAAGAATGAAACGGCAGGAGGATTACTGTTCACCATTTGAGCACCATTGTGCACCATTTGAGCACCAGGAGGAATTTGGGCTGATTGTGCACCAGGAGGTCCACCATAATGAACACCATTGTGCACCACTGAAGCAGCATGAGCACCATTTGCTCCGGGAGGGTAGGCACCGCTTGGAATTACAGGGAAATGAGCACCGTTTGGTACCATTGGGGCACCATGAGCAACACCACCAAGATAGGCACCGTTCACCAATGGAGCACCAGTAGGTATTTGGGCTGCGTGGGCACCAGGAGGAAACTGAGCTGCTTGGGCACCAAGAGGTCCACCGTCCAAGTAGGCACCGTTTTGCACCCATTGTAGTTGTTGAGCCACCAGTCGGCGACGTTCCTCGGCAATCAATTGATGAGATAGTTCCACAGGGATCCATTTCTGCAACGGGGTGGGTGGTTCGCTCAAGCGCAAACTATCGACATATGGGTAACATGGAGTCGATTGTGGGACAGGGAAATGGTTTGGAGAAAATACATCCATTGTATTACTCCTTTATTTACAGCAAATTCACACAATTTTTACAAAATGCAATTTCCAATTTTCTAATACTACAAGAAAAAAAATTCACTCAAAACTAAAACTCCAAAATTTTCCTACACCTCGCGGTTACTATTTTCTACACTAATAAGGCCCCCAAGGACACTCACAAAGACTTTCCACTAATACCAAAAAGAAATTTCCAAACGCAACCAACTTTCCACTAAAAAGAAAAATTAACACACCGGATTACACCGTGGAGTCACGCCAGACGACGTGAGGCACGACAAGGCCAGGCCCCCAAGTTCTGAATCGTGGCAACGGCCTGTTCCACCAACGACTCAGAACTAAGAGAATAACTTGATTGAACGCGGGTCTCCTCCTTTGTTCAATCGTATTCTCTCAGTCTCTCTTTTCTGCAATTTCCTTCTTCTCCACTCAACTTCTTACTTTTCTTCTCTTAAACTATTTCTCTCTCTCTACTCTACCTAATCTTAAACTAAATCCCACGGGAAACTCCAACTCACGAACGAAAACCGCAAAGAATTACAATTTAAACTGAACCTCTATTTATTCTACTTGCTAACTTCACGGTACTTTACACTTGAAACGGCCAACAGCGCCTCTACCGGCAAAGGGAGGAAGGGAAACAAACTAACTCGATGGGAGGAATCGGGCCTCGGTTACCGCCGCCGCCGACAGGGCGCGCTCGGTTCACCGGTTTACACAAAACTCGCAACTTCCACTAATCTGACAAAAATATGCAAATTAGCGGCGAAAACAATTCAACCGCTAATTATTCCGACAATTTCCACGCAAAACTAAACAATTTCGGGACTTACAACTCAAAAATCGGCGGGGTTCAGCACCACGTGCGGCCGACGTAACTTCTCAAACCGGGCAAAATTAACTAAAAATCCAATAAACTCACCAAATAAACGCCTAACCAACACCAGACCAACTCAGGGAACAATTCACACTACCAGAGAACTCGCAAATCTAGGCCGAAATTCGTCCGAAACCCGTCGGCAGCCAAGAGCTCGCGGCGCGCAGCTCTTGCTCCTTCAGCGTCTCAGCACGAACTCTCTCGCTCAACTGCCCAGCGCCAATGAGAGAACGCATCGGTCTGCTTCTACTCGCTTCCAGAAGGTTCCGGCCAATCAGATCGCGAGTTCTCAAATCGGGCCTTATATGGTCATTTTCTCCGGGGATTATCCAAACATGGACGGCGGAGATGAGAGAAAACGACAAAATGGGTTTAAATGACTTGAGCGGGCAATTAAACTCAAACCTGATGACTTATTCGGGTCGGGACTGGGACGAGTTGGCCGGCGGCGAATAAAAAGTGAGTCTATTTGCTTTCTTTCTTCTTTCCGGCGACAGCAAAAACACGAGGCGGTTTGTTTACTTTCTGATCGTTCCAATGTTGACCGGTAGATGGCCACGATCCGCCACTCACCGAGAAACCTCGGCGGACAATCGCGGGCTATTCAAGCGGGCTCTCTCTGGTTCAAGAAAATTACACGGTATAGGATGACTCTCACAACTGCTAACATTCCGTCCCCTTTTTTCATATTATAAGGTCTCTCTCTGCACAATCAGAAAAACAAAGCGAGTGGTTTTGAATTTTTTTGATGCAATTTGAGTATATGCGTTTGCATTAAATTTAACCATTTGTTTATTTTATGTGCAAATTGCGCTCGCTTTATTGCCTTTCGCATTTGTTTTTCATTTTTTATTTGCAGTTTTGCAGTTTTTATGGTTTTTATACATACTTCTCTTTGAAATTTGTCGCATATAACTAATTCTTAAATAGCTGTGAAATTATTTATGCATGTGTATTAAAATTTTAAGTCCTTTTTCTTATTTAGCATAATCTGTCGCCTTCCGCCTTTCTCTAAATTATAGAAAAGATGGACTACAAAGGTATGAGGTGAGATTATATTATAATTTGCAATTGAATTAAATTTTCTACATTCGATATATTTGACTGTAATTTGTATTAGTTAATTGAGATACATTATGTATTATTTTATCTAATTATTATTGATGAAATCAATAAACTCAAACGGCATCTTGTTTTGATTTGTAGCCCAGCAGACCGATGTAAGATCGTAAAATTGATTCAAAGGAAGAGAAATGAGAGCAGCACAAGGAAAGAAAACTCTAAGATTGAAAGTCTGAAGATCCTGTCGATGGAACAAATTTACAAGACCTTCATGTACATGGAAGTTGGTTCACTAAAAAAATTGCGTAATAATTTTTGGAATATTTTTAATTTTACTCTTAATAAGAATTTGAATTCAAATTGCAGCTAACACTCTGGTCCAAGAGTTTTTTGGCTTGATCTCAAGATCAACCTTCCACAAAAGTCTGACTGCTGGTCCCTCTTCTGTTGCTGCAGATAGTATGGTGCTTGTTGCGATGCTCCTCAACACCTACACAACCGAATTTGATGGCCAAAAAGTCTTCTTGCCAAAAATGCCTCTTCAAGAATGGGAAAAAATTTTCACATACATTTTAAACAATTGTCCAAACATGTCAAGAATTTCTCAAACAAAATTGTCCCATTTGGAGCATCCGTTATGTCCCACGGACTTGCAAAATTTGACCAAGTTGGAGCATGTCAGCCTTTCCAGCTACGTATTCACGGATGAACACTTGCATCTCATTCAACAGCACCTTCCTCGGCTCAAGTAAACTTTAATTCTATAAAGGCTAAAGTGGTCAGTAAAAATAATAATTTTTATACTAATTTCAGGCACCTGGAAATTAGCATGGCGAAAAACACAGAAAAGGCGGCTGTTGCTTTTTCCAAAATGCAGAACCTCAAACACCTCAGCATCACACCGGGTTGTCATTCTGAGCCAATTGATTTAGAACTTCTGGTCCACTGTGCTGGTCAAACACCCAATCTGCAACATATGCATCTTGCTGCCCTCCAGATGGATTTTGCCTTTTTGTTCGGAACAATGTATCCGTACAAAGAACTCGTAATCGCAGAAATAACGTATTAAAGTTGTATATTATGCCAGTTGTTGTTTTTTAAACCTTTCTTGAATCTTTCAGCGTCTGGCTGCCAATTGAAAGGGACTGGCCCTCCAATGTTTCTGTCAAGTGCCTTTTCATTGAATGTTTCGATAGAGAATTGCATGCTGAGAGACTGTCTTCTGTTCCTTGCTCACCTGCAGTGCTTGGTGTGAATGCTGACCCCGACGAAATTTACATGCTTGTCAAGATTCTCGGCCAGGACACCAACACAATCAACATCAAAAGAGATCAGGTCGAGTCGGAAAAGATGCCTCTTGACCTGTACGTCATTCTTGAGCATTGCCCTAATTTAGAAAGTCTGAACTTCTACTCCATTGGATTCTGCGAACCTCACAACATGAGAAAGTCACCGGAGGCGTTCAGAAAACTAATTGAGTACAAGTACAACTAATATCGTTGTGTTTTCATGTGTTGATTATTCATTGATTTTTTCTCCAGTTTCCTCTTCAACAATTCAACTTATGAGTTGAACCAAGTCCTTGAAGAGGTCTCAAAAGTAAATGAATTTTACAAAATGTTCCTACTCGGTTCAGAACGCCACAACTGCAAAGACGTAATTGTTTACAACGTTGGCCATATTCTGGCTATTTTGGAGGCTCTAGTGGAACGCCCTGACTGCCTCAAACCTTTGGAGGATGTTATTTTATTTTTGCAACATGATCCTATGTTGGACTTGGCCCTCAAAGTATTTAATTTCTTGTTTAATACGAACTTTACAATTGATTGTATGAAATTTTAGATGGTCCAGTGCCTGATCTTCCACTCGCCCAATCTTAAATCCATTACATGCATCCTGAGTGAAACGACCTCCCTCAGGGAAAGTTCTGTTTACAGGGACCACAGCTGGTTTGAAGAATTGGTCACTCAAATTGGAATTCGCTGCTTATTTCTTCCAAGAAAATTGTTCACTAAAATAAGACAAAATTATTCTGGAGATTCTGATAGTGATACGAGCAGCTCAGAAGAGGAGGAGATGGAGATTGATGATGATGTTGTCATGGAGTGAATTCAACGGAGAGCCAAAGACCAACAAGAAAGGTGTTTCACCATTTGAACACCAATATTTTCCCAAGCTCTTAAAGTTTCCTTTAAAATTACATTTTGAAAAAGAATACTCTCGCATTAGAGAAATTTGCTTTTAAGATATTTTTTTGAGAGCCCTATCGTAACTAAGTTTTGGGGCGCCTAAATTGTTATCTTGCAAGCTTGAAGAGTGCTAGAGCAGAGATCAAGGTACTCTTGATTTTATATAAAGGTCCGTAATTAGACATTTTCTGCTTTCTTTATTTTCATGAATAAAAAAAAATGTCTTAATTTTTACAAATGAAGACGTCTGCTTTAGTTCCAATCAAATCAAAGAAGACTTCTCATAATATATTTGAGCAATTTAATCACATTCAACCTGAAAAACTTAAATTATTGTGGAAGTATTTTTCTCAGCTTTACGATGACCTCATCAAATTATGGTAATTCTAATGAGTTGGTTTATTTAAAGAAAAATAGTTATAATATAACTCCGCATGGATGTATAATATAAATTTATAATGAAATCCATGAACGATTATTTTAGTATAAACAAGCCTGTCCTGTTGAAGAGGACTTGTCCATTTGTTTCGGAGTGATACAATTGCATTGTGAAATCGATCAGCAGGAATATCAAACGATTTAATTTCTCTCTATAATAAAAAAGTACCAAAAGCAGATGTGTATGGAAGGTTTCATACATAATACATAGATTTCAAACAAACCAATAAATGAATCAACCTCCAACATTAAAATGCACAATTCTATTCTGAGCTGATTTATGTACACACAAGAGACGTTTCAGATATGCATTGAAAACAAGAAAGCAGATTAATTTGCGGAAAGTAAGAGTAATATAAATATACTTCAGCGAGTGCTTTCGCGCCACTCGGGGTCAAATTTGAATTTCGCGCGCTCAGTGCGAGTGGTTCCGCTTCCTGGCCCGAGAGTTTGACGTACCAGCTGACCTATATCGAGCACCACCATTTCTGTTTTGCAGTGCTTGCCACTTGTTATCTCGCAGGCAAACACAGCGTCATTTTTTTGCGACTCGCAAATCGCAGTGGGCCACTTGGCGGCGACATTTGGCCGCGGCAGTCATGCTGACCTTCGACCTCTAGACGAAACCGACCGAGCCGAGCAACGCTGGCCACCGTGAGTCTCCTCTTTCGTTAATCTCAAATTTATTTATTTTCGTGCCTGATTTTGACATTCCCAAGGTCCTTATCTGTCCTCTATCTCCGCTGATAATGAAACTCTGTCCGTCACTGTTCGCACGGGGCTGATTCATACTTCGCAGTTCATACGTTCGGCATAGGTGGGAAAATTGCTGCTGTCAATTGGAAAAGTTTTTACCGAACATCCGATTGAAAATTGATGAGGCTCCGCATCCTTTCACTTTTTACACCGTGACGCGGAAGCGGGCCCTAATTGATTTGTTTGCACCGATTAATTACACACCTTTCGTAATTATATATACTGCGGATTTTGTAATTAATAATATTACTGAAATTTTTATATTTATAATTTGTTGTCATTCAATTAAAATTATTTTGAGTGATTTCACTTCCAGGAAATTTGTTATTTTAGAGGGGAAAAAAATAAAACAAGCACTTAATTTTAATCAATATGCGCTAGAAAAGCCAAATGTTTTCTGAGATAATTGGCACCTTTTCTTGATGTACCGTTTTGCTTCTGCTGATAACGAGTATTTTAACTGTTGCAGAAAATGTCGTCGAGCACGTCAAGCCCTTTGAGCAGCACCACCCTGAGCAGTGTCATGTCCTCGACGGCCGCCGCCATCGTCTCGACTGAGCCGCCGGCCATCGAGCCCATCTTCCTGCAGACCAAGACCGCGCAGGGCATCGCCGGCGCCTTCGTCTGGGTCGCCCTCATCATGACCTGCCACCAGGTTTGTATCTTCTTAATCAATTGGATTTTTTTAACTAAAATAAATTTTTGGGCAGATCTACCAGCACCTGCGGTGGTACAGCAACCCCTCGGAGCAGCGCTGGATTGTGCGCATCCTCTTCATCGTGCCTATCTACGGCTTCTACTCTTGGCTTAGTCTCATGTTTTTCAACAACGAGAGCTACTACGTCTACTTTTTCACTGTGCGCGACTGTTACGAAGGTGCAGAAATTTTCTGTTTTGAAATATTTCTCATGAAATTAATTTCTTTTCTCTCTATATAGTGAAGAATTCTTAAATAGCACTTTACTATTTAAATTTAAATTAAATTGAAACGAATTCTCAAAATTGTAGAGGTAAAAACAATTATTATCCAGTTTATTATTAGTTTTTTAGCTTATCTCTGTTGTGTTTTTTTTTTTTGGCCTTGAAACTTGAAAGGATAAAATTGCTAACAAAATTTACTCACTTTTGCAGCGTTTGTAATCTACAATTTCCTGAGTTTGTGCTACGAGTACTTGGGCGGGGAGGGCAACATCATGAGCGAGATCCGCGGAAAGCCGATTCGCTCGTCTTGCACATACGGCACGTGCTGCCTGGTCGGCAAGACCTACACCATCGGCTTCCTGCGCTTCTGCAAACAGGCCACCCTCCAGTTCTGCCTGATCAAGCCGCTGATGGCGCTCATCATCATCATCCTGCAGGCCTTTGGAAAGTACCACGACGGTGACTGGAGGTGCTGAAATCAATATCATCCAAAATTCCCATTGTAATCGTTAAAAATTTGCAGTTTCGCCAAGGGCTACTTCTACATCACAATGATCTACAACGTTTCCGTCAGTTTGGCGCTGTACGGCCTGTTCTTGTTCTACTTTGCAACCAGGGACCTCCTCACACCGTTTGACCCAGTCCTCAAGTTCTGCACCGTCAAGTCCATCATTTTCCTCTCCTTTTGGCAAGGTAAACTTTGGTTTACAAAAGTTGATTATTTATGAATCTATAGATTTTTCATCCAATTTTACCCCGAAATACAAATTCATCAAATTTTTTATCTTCTAAATAAAATATTCATCAGAATGAAATTATTAAGAAAAAATTTGTTAAAATTCGCGAAAATAATTCAACTATTCTAATTAAAAAAATTTAAGCTCTGTTTTAACAATGAGCTCTCAATATCTAATCTTTACTGAAATATAAACTTCTGAACCTTTTTCCATAAGATCAATGTAAATTTTTTATGTCGAATGACCTATTGATTTCATTTTTCCATCTTAATTGGGGTGATATGAACATTATTTGCTAAAAATTTTTTATATTTCCAAATTATGACCAAAAAAATTAATGAAAATTGCCTTAATTTTCAAAAATCAAGTTCTCCCAATGAATTCAATTTCGCTTTGACACTAAAATCAACAAACCAATGCTAATGTAGAGAAAAATTACCATCAAAATTACTATGGCAATTTTTTACAAAAGCCTCTCCTTAATACACCCTTTCAATCACTTTCTCAGATTAAATAGATTTAATAGTTAATAATCTTTTATTCATTAAATTTTAAGTCTATGAAGTTTTTTTTACGATTTTTCCAAACCATGAAATAAAACAACTTTTTTTAATGAAATTTCAATTAATGTGAGTGAAATTGCTCAAAGATGTTTCAAATCATTTGAAAATCATCCTGTTGATTAAAATTTTTAGATCACTTGCAAATTTGAGTAATTTTAATACATTTTTTCTAAAAAAAATAGAGCTAAAAAAATATTAAGATACTAAATAGCATAAATTTAAAACTTTTTTATTCAGGTGTTCTCCTGGCCGTTTTGGAAAAGGCGGGGGCGATCGAGCCGGTGATCGACAGCACGGGGGTGCCAACGTCTGCGGGTACCGTGTCCGCCGGCTACCAGAACTTCCTCATCTGCATCGAGATGTTCTTCGCGGCGGTAGCGCTTCGGTTTGCGTTCCCACACACGGTGTACGCGCAGGGGTGTCTGCGCGACGCCAGCGGCCGCTCCGTCACCATGCACAGCATCTCGTCCAGCCTCAAGGAGACGATGAACCCGCGCGACATCATGACCGATGCCATCCACAACTTCCACCCGCAGTACCAGCAGTACACCCAGTACAGCTCCGGTAAATACTAGCATGCTTGCCCCACAAAACGCGCATGGATCTTAGTGTCTTGCAAAATCTTAGGCCAGATTTTTTGTTTATTTTTATGCTGCATCATTTTCATTTTTTATTCGCAGATTTAGATGATGGTATATTTTTCAATTCTTGCATTGTGATCAAAACTCCTTCAAAGCAGGAGGCATTTTCCTACCAAAAGAATTTTGATTGAAATTTTGACTCTCGAGTCTGCTGGGAAAAGTTTTGAACGCTTAAAAGGTGTAAATTTTGTTCACTTTAAAACAAGAATTTTTTTATCCTTTCCTCTAAATAATCTTTTTTTTTTGCAATAAACTGTATTTTAAATTTAAATTTTGGCTGAATCTGCGTCAGAGATTTTGCATCCCATCGTACTCTGGCTCATGTTGTTGCATGCCCTGTTGTTGCAGAAGTTGGCTCGTCGAGCCAAACGCCTTACGAGAAGCTGTGAGACGCCCGTCTGTGTTTTTGCTTGGCCCCTGCCTGCCTGTTCTCCTCGCCCTGTTTCTTCCCCGCTACCTTATCGTTAATTCTCCTCTATGGCTGTTTTTATTAAGTTGAAATATAATTTCCAAAAGTTAATTCATAATTTTTATATATGTTTGTTTTGACGATAAAAAGATTAAGATTTTTACTTCGCTAATTAGCCGAGGTGAAAGTAGTGCAATTTTTCTAAAAATTTCTAAGACTTCTCAAGTGGACATTGAGAACAATGTCGGAGTTCAATACAAGTGCAATGTTTGGAGCACCTTGAATTTTTATATATATTAAATGCTTTTATTGGTACAAGCTTTGCTAGAATAGGAGTCTGTGTCTACTTAGAGGAATTGAATTCGAACAAATTAATTTATTGCCTTCGGAAGCTTTCAGTATTATCAGCTTTTTACTAACTTTAAAGAATTAATTTAAACTTCAGTAGCAGAGCAGTTTTTGTTATACAGAAATAAATATTATAAAATTAATGTACGAATTAAAATACATAGCGGTGTGCGTTTGTGGAATGAGATGCACGCTCCCTGAATGTGGTACTGTTTAAATATAGACGTAATTTAGGTGACAAAGAAAGAAAAAGTTTTTATTTTCATTCAATTGAAACCCAATATTTTAATAGTTTTTAATTTTGTTATGTGCTTTAAATAAACTCCTTTTCAGGCTCTCTTTCTGCATGAACCAAACTAACCAAAGCATCTTTCAAAATCTGTCATCTGCTTGTTCTTAAAAATCTGCTTTGAAATGAAAGTGTTTTTCCTCTCCGGGGACTATAATTCTATAATTGGTTGTGGTGCTTCTCTCTTTGTGACTGTGGTTCTCCTTTTGAAGGCGGCGCGCACCGCAACAACCGGAGCGACCTGGACTACGAGGCGGCGCCCACCGACCCCAACATGGCGCCGGCGCCGGTCAGCAAGAAGCAGGCCAAGACCAGCGTGAGCACCATCAGCAACCAGCAACACACAGAGAAGTCGATGCTGCTCAGCTCGGACGACGAGTTGCAATGAACAAAACGGACTCCGAACACACCTCATCCTATTTGTACCTTGTACATTTCCCAGCAATCTTGCTACAGTCTGACACACACTTGGATCTCGCTTCCGTTTTCCATCGAGCAGCAATTTTTTCTTTTTAGTCAAAGCATTTTTTTTTCCAAATATATTAAATAACTATGCATTTTTTTTTTTTTTTTTTATAAATGGGCTCTCTATGATTTGGAATCTTTAGTCTTTACAATTTAGTCTAGGTTAAGGGGAGACTTGGTTAAAATTCACTCTTTGTTACATGTTGATTTTGGACCTATCGGGACCTATGTTGTCGAGGCTGCATATAATATTTATTGTGTATATTTAACGCTGATTCTTTGTGATGTTGAAATGAGCTGCTTATTATATCAGACACATTTCCAGTCCATGTTGAGGTGGTCCGAGGTCCACATTTCGTCTTTAGTTTAAAAAGGTATGGTTGATTTATGGGCCGTCGGACCTCTGCAAAGCAAGTCTTAAGTGTTAACTACTTCAAGGGTTTAAATGTTGCATTTTAAAGGCAAAAATTTAAATGCTGTGAGAAAAAATGATCAAGGTCAGAATCAACAACACTGGTTTTATATCGTCAAGTATCAAGTAAGCCTTGATAGAAAAATCTAATATTTTTCTTCAAGTGATAAGACTTCCTCAGTTAAATGGGCAAAAGAAAAGAGTATTTTATACTAATTGGCAGGTTTGCAACAGTTTAAAAGTTTCGTCAAAGCTTACAAGAAAATCAGATCTATGCAATTGACCTTGCAAAAATTCTACGAAATGTCTATTATAAAATAAATTATCACCAGCAAATGAATAAACGAGAAAGAAAAAATGCAGTGTTTTAAGTAACTAACAATTCCTTATAATAATTCAGCTATTCACAAAGGGGATTCAGTGGGTTATTGTTTGATATTCTGCACCCTAGGGTCGTCAGGCCTGTACACGGTGTAGACATTCTTGTATTTCCTGTTGTCTCCGTCATTGTCGTAGTAATGCTTGAGACCGATGACGCCCATGGTCAGCCCTGCAACAAGAAAAATGTCAGGAATAATGCAGACTTGGGCATAAAGACAAAAGTTACCGATGACTGCCATTACAGAGGAGCCCATCACCTCGGGAATTTCACTCCAGCCTCTCTTCCAAAGGGCCATCACTAGAAGGAAATCCAAAATATATTATATACATTGAAAACGTATCTTAAAATTGATATAAGTTAATAATTTAGATTATTAAAATTTAATTTAGGCTTCGAAAATATATGTAGAAAAAAAATTTTGTTCGTAAATCAACAAATTTCAGCCAAGTCCAGTCAAATTTTAAGTGAAACCAACTCACGGCCAGTCTGTGATGCCTTTGCAGCCATAATTCGGCAGAAATTTGCAAAAGTCCTCCAGAAATTGCCTGAATTCGACCGAAAAGCTCGAGTTGGTCCAAATAATTTTTATGTTTTGGTTCAGGTTTCTGGCTTCTGGCCAAGGAGGTTTTTTGCTGATGTTCCTCTTTTTCTGCATGCCACGCCCACTAATTCCGCAGTCCGTTCGTCGTTCCATCAAAACAAACCGGCAAGTTAGTTAAAACTACTCGAGTTTCCAGTCTATTTCGGCCCGAATTTGGCTAAATATCCAAAGGTCGACGTTGAATGGCGTGCAGAAGGGTGGCCGCGTCCTTGGTGGCCTCGGCTTGGAGGCGTCACGACCTGTCGCGACTCGCACGAAGCGGCAAAGAGGCGACCTTTGCGCAGTCCCGCACCTTCATCGCCTTCCCTCGAACCTTCTCTCCGGGTCTGCTGCAACCCTGCAGCCTGGACCAGCAGCAGGTCAGGTGGAAAAAGAAGAAGTCGGCCGCAAAAAGAAGCGTGAGTACCCGAAAATTTCAATTATTTAAAAAAAGAAATTTTTTAAATACAAAACTTCAGTTTTTTAGTTTTTGGTACGAGTATTTTGTTTGGCTGTTTTCGTTGTTCGTTTGAGTTTTTGCACAAACAATTTATATGAAAAATATAATATGTCTCTGGTGCGTCCGTAGGACGACTTGGACAGCGATGACGATGAAGAGACTGAGAGTCTGAAGGAGTTGGAAAAAGAGTCGGGCTCGAAGGTGCACAAAGTGGTGGTCAGCTCGTTGCGGGCCGACCTGATTTTGAAAGGCTGTCTCGGCACGGCCAGGAAGTATGATTCGAATTAAAAATAATGCAGAAAAAAATCTAACGGACGAAATTTGGGAATTTTAGTAAAATCGAGGCGATGTTTTACGAAGGCAAGATTGTGGTTAACGATGAGAAAATGAGGAAGAAAAGCGATTCGGTAATTTTTTTTTACACGGATACCAAGTTTGCAAAAAATAATTTAATCAAACTTTCAAGCTGAGGGTTGGAGATGTGATCGACGTCGTGCAAGGACCCAGTCCTGACAACCCCGAGAAGTTCAATTTGGTGACAAGAATCGAAATTCTCGGCGCTCATGAAAAAGACTCGGAAAGACTTACGTTGCATTACAGCAAACAAGGAAAACTGTTGGTGCCAAAGTGATAGTTATTAATTTAGAAAATCGCCAGTGATTTAAAATTTTATTTATGATTTAATGAGGTGGGTCAAGAAATAAGTTTGAATAATTTAAATTGAATTATTAGGTGGCCAAAATATTAAACTGTAATTCAATGAATGATTTTGAATCAAATTTATTAAAATAAAAATTACAAAGTTAAAAGATAACTGAACTTTATTTTTCTAAATTATTTCATTTATAAATAAGTAAGGAGTTTTGTTATGTGAGTGGAAATTGAAACGCTCTTGAATTTTTTATTTATATCATTTAATTGTTAATATCCACAGCTTTTCAGAACATGTACCATATCAGAGAACAAAAACAGAGGAAACAATGTTGAATTCCGATGAGGTAACAGATTTCAGCAACCGCGCAGTTTCCATTTTCCTTCTTAATAAAAACAAATTTCTTCCTTCCGAGTGACGAGACCGCGCCATGACTCTCTTGCTTTTGTCTACACATTTTTTTGTTTTTCGCTACAAATTATTGCTGAGATTTTGGTTTCGCCGAACGAGACGGACACTGTTTGTGGAAACACCGATTTTCAGAGATTACAGTCATTAGTTGTTTGTTGAACACATAGTCACAAAAACCGTATTATCTTGCAAGATCAAGAATATTTACAAAACACCCAAAAATTTTGAGACTACCTCTTCTCCTCGATTCCGTCAACAAGAAATTTCAAATTCCCTCTCTGCAAATGCGATCGTCGCGCGTGAGTGTCGCTTTTTTATTACGTAGGTAGGCTAACGTTAGAAATGTATTACTCGGACACAAATATCTACTTTAATCACATTCAAGGTTCGAGAATATAAAGAGCATCAAAATGACCAACGATTCTCTCTTTGATTGCGTTTTAATTTCCTCGAAAATATTTATTCTCTTTCAAATACTCGCATTTTGATGCTGCATTTTCGGCGGGAAAATCAATTAAATCGAAAGTAAAACAATTTTCACCATTTCTAATTTTCTTTCCGTTTTAAGACAGAATTTATCTTTTGTCCACTTTTTAATTTTGACGATTTTCCTGAGGTTATTTATAAATTCTCTATTTCGCGTCGTACAACTAGGAGAGTACCCTGAATCCCTTAATTTTTTTTCTTCTTAAGTTTCTGTTTAAATTACACGATCTCTCCTCACGGTTTTTTATTTATATCGAACAAAATATAATTTCTGCGTGTGTGTTTCTGTTGAAAATATTTACATTTGATCTCTTCGCAACGCGCGTCCTTTTCGCTTTTCTGCTTTGAGTACATAACAAGTGAATAGTGTTTTGCTTTTTCGCAAGTCGATCTTGGTTAATTTGAGGTATAAGAGATTCCAGTGAGTGTCTGTGTGTGTGTAAATCGTTAAGTACTGAGTTAATTGCATTCTCTCCTCCAGAGTCGCCTGCACGTCCGACCTGTCCAACTCACAGCCAATCGATTCTTGTAAATGTGCTGAGAGATTTTCAATCGGAATTTTTATGCAATACTTATTTCCTTCTCGCGGTCGAACGGCCGACCCTTCTATCTCACTAAAAACAACGACCGAAATCAAAATTGTCTCTTTCGTTCCGGCTAAAATAACGTACGCTCCTTAAACATTAATCAAAAGATATAGGAAACTCAACAAAACGGGTCGTGCCTTAAAGGGTCTGCCAACTTCCGAAAAATTCCTCAGATCCTGATAGATCTTTGCGTTGTGTTTCAAAAGTGTTGAAGAAAAATTTATTTTGGACGAACATTGACACGAGTTCTTATTAAATGCCAAAGTTTCCCAAAAAACAAAGAGGCTGCCAATCGAGAAAATTAAAAATTTAATAACTATGCCAATTTTATTTTTAAATTAATTTTGAAAAGTTATAACCGCATCTTCAATTTACAATCTTCAATTTTTTAATGTTGTCAGCCCCTTTAAGCACGCATTTTCTCACTTATTTCTCGTGTACATATATTTAATTATATAATTTATCAAAAAACACGCACCACACGTTTCACTTAATTTGAATTTTTGTCCAAACTGCTGCCCACAAAAGCAGGTCGAATTCGTCCGAAAATTACTGAACTGAAATCGGGGGGAGTTTAAATTCTAGTTTGCTATCACATATGAATTTAATTTCGTAGCAGGTGTTTTCGGGAGGGACGTCGTCGTCGGGTCCGCCGCACTCGTCGCCTCTCTCTCTCTCTCGTGTAAATAAGATTTTGCGCGCGGCCCGACTACGAACGATGAGAAGTGAAGCAAGACAAAGTTTCCGTATCACAGCGCCTGTTAATTTTTTACTCTCGCACGCACCAGTCCCTCTCGCTTATCACAAATAACACAGGAATATACATTTGAGTGTAGTTATACGCTTCCCTAATTGTATACGCAAGGACCCCCTTCGCTCTCCCTTAAACATTATCACCAATGCGTGTTTTCGTTACCAAAAATATAGCGAACCAAATTGTATGTTTATTATAAATATTAGGCTTCTCCTTACTTAAGTACGTTGCGCTACAGCCTATTTAGAAAACTATCAGTAAAGTCGCGACCCGTGCGTGCACACCAGAGTAAAAATTTGTTGTCTTTCTTTTTGGAAACTTTTGTCTCGCCAAAAACGCTGGATTTAAAGTGAAGCTGAGTAAATTTCATTCTGCCACGGACTGTCTGTGTGTATCTGTTTAAATAGGGTTGCCAGGTACTGTATGAAAATGTGTAGAAAATCGCCATTCAAATTAATCAAAATTGTCCTGTAGTGCGATTAGTTTATCTGCTAAATTTTACGATTGAGGTAGTTCCATTCAGCTCGCCAACGCCTGAACAAGAAATGTCCCAGATTTCTCTATTTTTCGTGTTAAAAAAATGAAACCGGTACAATAATCTTCCAGCCCTTAAAGTTTTAAAACGATTAATTTCTTTGCTATAACCAAAAGGGAACGTTGATCTGAATTGAAACCGGTTAAAAAACAAATTTGAAGGATTTATGTACCAAATTAAAATAACGTTATTTTTTTGCGGGTTGTGGATTTTGAATGATCTGAACAAATCTGGGCCGGGGGTAGGCGAGCCTGTTTGAATCGCCTCTGTCTGCTTCTGGCAATCCTGCTGTGAGAAATAAGATTGGCTAGTGTCTGTTGCTTCACATCTTGATAATCAATTAACTAATTATATTTCCTCCGAGTATACTTCATATTTAAATATAATCAAATCGGAATGTAAAAAATGTAGGCACTACTTAAGTCAATGAATTATATACGTAACGAAGATATAGAGCTGCTGCGTGTATCGTTTCATATCTTTAGTAAATATAAAAATGTAGTAAATCTGCAGTTTAGTATAGTAGTTGCTGTTCAGTTACGGATGAGGTGTGTCTGTTCTTTGAATCGATCGTTTGTAGAACTACTGATTTGTATAAGCAGGAACTGTTTCTCTTATTCGTAGCTATGACGTACTTATTATTGTTGTGTGTGTGGATGATTTTCGTATCTTTTGCTTTCCAGAAACTTATCGACTCTTATTAAAAATGACAACGGAAAAATATCCAAACTGAGAGAACAGCTTGTTAATTGTGTGGCTCAGTCTTCTAAGGTTCTTTTGCTGATTACAATAATATATTATTTCTGTGGATGTTCCCGATTGAAGTGTGTGTGGGGGTGTGTGTGTCAGTTAAAAATAGTGTCTGCTACACTCGCGCCAATTGTCAAGAAACGGGGCAGCAATCCAATGTCTTTGAGCCAACGGTGTTGCTTATTTAGATGGAGTGCTTTTTGGGGGCGTCGACGAGTTGGGTGACGAGGTCAAGGGCGGCGTGCTCGGCCGCGAGTTCGCGGTTCTTCTCGGACTGGGGCAGCAAGTGGATCATGCTGACCGGGATGGGGAAGGCCAGGTCCGAGTAGAAGTTGGTGTAGGGGTTGAAGTTGAGGTCGGTGGTGTCGGGCGGGTTGTTGTTGGCGCACGGCTCGTCGGCGGCTTTGGCGGGTGGCGACACCAGCTCGGCCGCACCCACCAGGCAGTCTTTCTTCAGTTGCTCCAGTTTCAGCGACTTGCCGTACTTGCCGCGCACGTACATCAGCAGGCTGTTGTACGGGATGCCGAAGATGCGCGACGCCTGCGACGTCGTCATCTTCTTGTTCCACACGTGCTGCAGCGCCTCCGTCAACTCTGCGTTTGTCCACGACCGCGGCGGACCTCCCCGCGGCGCGCTGTGCTGCCCTTTCGGCCGAACTGAAATCATGAAACAATCGAATGTGCATTAAATTCATATCAATTAAAACAAGAAATAATTCAATCAATCATTGCATTCTCATCAGGGGGTCATGTTTGATTCTGAGTAAAAGCTCCAGCTAAAAGCTAACACAGCCTGATTAATTTTTTTTTTAATTTTTCTCTGCTTTAGCATTGGTTTGTAATGTAGTTTATAAAATTTCCAATCAGACATTGTAAGAAAAATTAGATTCATTGTTGTTGTTGTTTATTTGTCCAAATTGTTACAAATCATTAGGAGATCTGATTTTTTTAGCATATTGTTTCTTATGGGAACTTTCTCAAAAATATTTGATCCAATTATTATTCATGAAATTTTATCAAACCATGTTCATATCACCTTAATCAAGTTGGCGGCAAAATAAAATTAATGTAGCTTGTCATCAAAAATTACATTGATCTTATGGGAAATGGTTTGATAAGTTTTTTTTATCAGTGTAGCTTCTTTTTAAAATATTTTTCAGTCGGTTAATGATTCCGAACTTTTACACTTTGGGTCTTTTTTGATCACTTTGGAATGGAATGAACCGAATTCGTTCTTAGAAATAAATTCAATCCAATTCTTGCAACTAGAATTTGCTTGATCAAATTATCAGTATTGGGTCTTTTAAAATTGAACTGTCTAAATAAAGCTTAAAATTCTGTTAATTAAATCATTATGTTAAATAATTCCTCAGTATACTTACATTTTCTTTTGTTCATAAGAGGATTATCGTGTCTTGGTTCAGGCAAGTCGTGCAGTAAATGATTTCGAGCGTCTATCGGTGGAAATAATCCTGAAACACGATACCAAATCCACTTTAGACTTTAGAACCTTTGATTTTTACAATTTTTTAATTATAAAAAAAAAATGATATTAAGTACTTATTGGAATGCATTTTCATTAATAACTATTCCATTTAAAATAAGAATAAGAAATACAGTATTATGTGTATCCGATTGTTGAGCTATAAATTCAAAATCTTGGACGCAAAATATTTATTAAATATAAAATTAAAAAATGTTATAATGAGGATATAGATAGGAATTACCTAAGTGCGCCGATTCCATGGAAAACACTGCAACAAATAATGGCATTTGAATCACAATTGAAGTCGGAATGGTGCAAAAAAGAACTCACTGTGTGGCGGAGTCAGTGGCAGAGAAGAAACGGTGGGCAAAACAGGAAAGCCTGCTGTGTCTAATTGCGCATCCTGCAAAACAAGACGCGATTTGCTCGGTGAGCTCGGCAGAAATAAATGAGATGACAAAACAGACAGAGATTCTCAAAGAAAACATTGATATCGCACGGACACACACACGTCAAACCAGGATAATGCAATTGTCAAGGTTTGCCACAAAAAATTGCCCAGAGCCAAGTGTAAAACCAACTTGAATATCTATTTCCTGTCATAAATCCGGCTAAAATCAATTTCATATTTCAAAAAAGGAAGACCAGTTTAAAAAGTGACAAATTTATTAAAGATGAAAAATTCAAACTTGTCTAACAGTAAAGTAAACTTTTCAGTAATTAAAAATATATTATTATTATTTTTGTGATTTTTACGTGGAATTGGAGGAAATCAATTTAATTGTAATATTGCTTTTAATGCATGAAATGCAAAATAATAAAAGGATTTAATTAATACCCGGCTGGAGAGTTTAGGTTGTGAAAAATATTTCAAATAAATTGCATGAAAAAAGAAATATCCCACTTGACCTGATTAATTGTCATTTTAAACTCAACTTTTGCTAACAGTTCAAATTTGGGATAAAAATATATTATTGTGGCCAGAGTTGTTGTTATAAATACCCATGTGAACTGAGGTGGAGCACTCACTGGAAGGCCGAGGGCGTGCGGGGAGCCGCCCATGGAGAAGTCGAGGAGGCGCTCGCTGGGCGCCAGGTCTGTGGGCAGCGAGGAGGGCGCCTTGCTGGGGGGCAGGTCGGCCGAGGTCAGGGGGCTCTCGGGGGCGCCGCTCGCCGGCGCCGAGTGCAGCGTCGACGGCGCCGGGCAGTTTTCCGTCGCCGGAAGCAGCAGCGCGTTCACCTGCGCCACTTCGATTAGCCGCGAAAATTTACATGAAAAATTTTTACTTTTTCCGAGGACGACGTCTTCTTGATGCTCAAGTTCTCGGGCAGGTCGGGCGACGGCGGCCGGCTCGGCTGCTTCTTGAGGTCGCGTGCCATCTCGCCCGATCTTCTCCGCGGCCGCGCCTGCATTTCATTAAGTTCGTTTTACGACAAATCTATAATTTATTGAAAGTTTGCTCATAATGCACCCTTTTCCCCAGATAAAACCAGTCCAAATCCACTCCAAAGTGATGAATAAGATATTTACTCTTTCGTACAATTTATGGAAAAGACTCTTTTTAACTTAAATCGCGGTCATACAAATGTTATAATTTCCAGAGGCCAATCGAATAATAAGAGACATAACTATGGGGATTGTTTCATGGAAACGCTTGAAAGACTTTAAAATGCAATAAATATGATAAATTATTTTAATGAAAGTTTTATTCAATTGAGGTTTTGAAATGGGAAGTTTAGGTTTGGCCTATTTTGTTACTGATTAATAAATTTCATTACCATTTACAGCAAACGGGTTTGAAAATTACATTATTATTTAAACGTTAACCTATTTAAAGCGCAGGCTTTAATTTTATGCAACTAAATTCACTTCCAATGTTTTTTTTATAGGTTCAATTTTAATTTATATATTTAAAGTTATAAGATTTATTTCTTCCTTTCACTGTTTACTTTTTTATTAATTGTCGTTTAATTATGTCGATTTGGACTGAATCATTACTCAAAAATTTCAAGAAAGGGTTTGCCGATATTTGCATGGAGACCAATTTCACCTCTCAATTTTTTTTTTTTTTTTTTGAAGCTGCATTCTCAATGACACCTAAATGAACTTAAATTCAAATGATTTTAACGGAAAGTGAAATTTAAGACTAAAAATTATAATAATTATATTCCGACTTAAAGGTTGTTTACTTGTATTAGAAATGTTGATTTATTAGTAGTTAAAAGTAAAATGAATGCTGACCTGTTTTCTCCTGGGGACGGGCGAGACCCTGTGGTGGTCCCTGGGGGGCGAACTGGCCTCACTGAGGGGCGACTGCTTGACGGGGGGCTCAAAGTGGGGCGCCGGCGAGGGCGAAAAGGGCGACGAGAGGAGCAGGGGGCCGTTCTCGGGGCCGCGGGCCCCCGCGAAGGGCCCTGGTAAGAAGGTGGGGGAGTTGGGGGTGGCCGCCTCCATTGACTCCTCGTGGCTGCCCAACGACTGCGGCTCCTTCTCCATGTGCGCCAGGCCCCGAATCTGAAAATTTTGGGTTAATTTTTCTATAGGAAAATGAAACTAGAATTTAGTCTCATTTTGCCTTAAAATTAACTTGAAAAAGTCGCTTTAGTCCAAAAAGTCTTCATTTATATTTATCAAAATTTAGAATATGAAAGATCTTTTTGTTTATTTTTGTTTTAAATCTGATGACAGCTCAAAAGAAGTCAAGGTAATTTTATAAAAAATTAATTTTATTTGCTAAAAAAAATCATTTTTACTTGAAATTCCTACGAAGTATTAGAAAGCAATACCTATAAAAAAATTAAAATTCTGTAAAAATTGAAGTCCATAAGAAAGTTTCAAATTAATCCAGAAATTTAAAAAGTAAAAATGAACATAAAAAATGCATAATATTTTCACACAATCAATTTCCACTGCCAGGATTCATTGTGGAGCAAATTAAATTTTAAAAAAATCAAAAGGATTTTCATTCATTGCAATAAATAAGGTGAATTCTGACCTGGAGGGACTCGGCGGCGCGGATGAGCGACGAGAGCTGGGCTTGGCTCACGCTGATCTCGCCCTTGTACATGAAGTCGACGATCGCCTGCACCTCCCATTCCTTGAGGTCCTTGAGCACTATGACCGGGTGTTTGCACGGCGTCTCCAGCAAGATGCGTTGGAAGTACGGACTGCCAATCAGTTTAAAAAATTTCAATTAACTCTCTGCGGGGAAAAAAAAGAATTTCCAATTCACGTCATTGCTCGATCGATTTCGATTTGAATTTCCATTCTCGTTTCTCAGACACGAAATAATGCAGTATTTGAATTTTTGAAGTAACTCCGAAGATATCTCGGCAATACTTTTCATAAATTTCAATATTGAAATTTCAGTCGCTGATTAAAGAGTCTATTCAATTCAAAAGCAATATTCTTAGGAAAATGGAGGTTTTTATTGGCGCAAGAAAAGTTTGATTGATTTTAGTTAAAAATTCTTAATAAAAACTTCGCATCGTTGGCTGATTTAAGGCTAAAATAATATTCTAAAATATAAAAATATAATAATGAAGGTTTTTTTAAACCTCCAATTCAAAAGTATAAATAACGAATATTCATTTCATTAAAAAAGGTTAATCACTTTATGCTCCATCCCCATCCTTCATATATTCATGAATATTATTGTTTTGAATTTTAAAATAACATTACAGAAAGAAAAGATGGGCACTTTGGTATTTTTAATTGAAATATAATTGTTAAAATTTGAGCAGAAAACTACGCGGTCGGGACTTCAGAGGGTCGTGTCACCGAATTGGGCTTAAGAATTGTTTTGACTTTTTGCTGGGTTCGGTGCAACTTATTCAACTTCACCCTTCACCGTTGCAGTTTTTTTTAATCCTTCAATTCACTTCAATAGTTCATTTAATTTAAATTCAGGAATAGTATTTGAGACAGATGAGTTATATTTTTATTTAATGTGTCCAGAGATTTTGAAGCAAATAATGTAATTTTAAATTCATCACACTAATCAGCTATCAATGTTATTATTTTTACAAAACAAATCGGCAAAACTCTAGCCTAAACAGAGTTTCCCCGTATATTGCAAATGATGAAAATAACAGGTAAAAAGATCACACTTAAGGTTCATTCTTAATCAATTGTTTTATTAATTTTGACTCTTCAGCAGTGAGCATTTTTGATCAATTTCTCTGTTTTTATTTTCCATTTGAAAGACCAATTTTTTTGAATGCACTTTTTCAATAGATTTTGTTAAAAAGGATTGATTTTGATGTCCTGTGCAACATATAAAAAATGGGTATAAAATCCGAATAATCAAATTTTCTCCAAGTTTTGAAATGGGATAAGAAAGCATTGGAATTTATTAAGTTTACAAGAAAAAATGAATAAGAGCGATGCAATATTATAAAAATTTGTATAATATTTCTGGGTTCAGAACGCTGTTAAGAAAATTGACATTGCCATCCTAATTAATCAAAAGTTATAAAGATTTTAAACGTTAAAAACGGTGGATTTTAACGTGGGTTTTTGACGTTTAAATTTAAACTTTATAAGTTTAAGAAATAATATACTATTTATTTTCAAGCATCAAATTAGTAGCAGTGAACTTCATTTTTTTTTATGTATGAATTAGTACCTTTTGCTCAAAGCATCACCCTTCACCCTGAATTTAAATAAATGGGAAAATTCATTGCATTTTACTTTAAGGGGGAGCTTTTGATATCTACACGGAAATTAAAACTTCTGGGCCTTTTCATATAAGATCAATGAAAATTTTTTTTGGCGACTGATCGATTGACTTTTATTTTTATTTAGTGAAATTTTCATCAATTTAAGTTGGGCCAATTTGAAGAAAAAATTATTTTGGGAGATTGAGAAACAATGTTAATTTAAAAAATTAAGCTCTCTCAATGACTTGAATTTTTCTGGCATCTTCAAAGCAATGCTTATGCTGAGAAACAATACCATCAATATTAATGAGGCCTTTTGTCTAACAATAAGTCTCTACTTGTCATTATTGAAGATAAAAGTAATGTCCGCGATCGAACTGATCTGTTGCGAATTTCCAAAGACAAGTTCCATTTTGAAAGTGTTGCGCAAAAATACTCTTTACGATTAAATATTCAATTATTTTAAAGTAAAATTTTTATTTAAATAATGAAACAAACCTGCAGGCAGAGAGGACGATTCTGTGCGCCCTGACCCTTCCCTCATCGCAGACGAGCGTGACGTCGACGAACGCCTCGTCCTGCAAAAGCGCGTCGAGGGCGTTGAGAATGTGGTACTGGTGGTTGTTCCATCGGAGGCTGTAGCCGGGGGCGCACACCTCGGCAGAACTCATTTTCCGGCGGCACAATCGCGTCACTCGCAACCATTTGCACCCATCACCTGCAGCAATCAAAACCTCAACTTCAACATAATCGCTTTCGCACTTTCCATTATTTAACAAAATAGAGATTTTTTAAAAAAATTCAGTAATTTTTAAGAAAAATCTAGAATAATGTTCAATTTGCGAAAGGTAACAAAATTATTGCTTTTTTTGTTGAAATAATATCAATTTAAATATTAAGAAATTTTAAGAATTTAACCAACTTTTATGAAAAATTTTAGTTTCATTTTAACTCTTGCGTTCTTAAGTAGGAAAAAGTGAATAAGAATAAGTTGACGCGCATTATTGAACGAAATGTAAGCTGCTTCTTTCCGACGCTAATCCCAAAATTGTAACAATTCCTGTCAACTCTTGCGGTCTTCACGTTTATTTGCAGCAGAGCCAAAGGAAAAGCTCAAATCTTGACAAATCAGGAGAGGAAAGATACCAAAATCTACATGTAAATTTAAAATGAAGTGCGAAGATTAATTTTGTTCAAAGATTTGATCTTCTCATCTTTGGCAAGAATATGTTTCAGTACCGGAAAATTAGCAAGAATCTTAATTTACTATTCAATTTATAGAATAATTAAAGAGAAATTTTTAAAACTTTGAACGCAAAAAACTTTAATGGTCAAGTTCTTTCTAATTGTTGGAGTGAAATTGAGTTTCTTTAGTTGGTCTAACGGATTAAAGATTTGAACCGAAACTAATCGGGAAGCTCTTACTAAGTTGCGAAAGAAAAATGTGAAGGAGGTGCGAGCGGCCGCGTTGATGAGCGAACAGACCCGCGCTCCAGGGCTAAAATACCGCGACGCAAATCGGGCATTAATTGCAGATCCGCGACGCGATTTTTCTGCAAAGAAAATCTTCAAAAAATTCGTTTGAAAATGGCAATTTTCAGAACTTTTGGGATGAACTATTTTACAAATATATTGGCAAATTTATTAACCATGGACTTATGAATTTGCAGAGCTTATGAAATTCTTCAATTAGAATTGAAAATAAAAATACGTAAGGAAAGCAGAAAATAAGATAAAACAAGATTAATTTCAAAATATCAATCATGCGGATTACAAATTATATTTAATATCTGTGAGTTTTAGAATATTGATCATGAATTAATTTTGTAAATTGTTAATTTTACTTCACAAAATTCATTATTAAAAATAATAAACGGGAAACAATAAAAAGATTAAATTTTAATCTAAAAATTGTTCTTGCTAAAATAAAAATTACGGAAAAGACGAATGTGTTGGAAGTTTCGAATAATTATTCACTGAGGAGAAATTGAAACGGGACGCGGTGCAGAATTTGTTTTTATTTGTGAAACAAACGTCGAGTGCCAAACTTGCAGCATTTGTGATAAATCAGCAAAATAGACGTGCTAATGTTTGCGACAAAGGGAGCAGAAATGTGAGTGTGTGTGCAAGTAGTGTGGAGAAACACAAAACAATGTGCAATCGACTTACGTGGCCGTTATTTATGCAATGGTGCGCAAATTCAACGCGTGCAATGACATGGGACACGAGGCGAATTTACTGACACGCACGCATAAAATTTAAATGCCACGATCCGCCAACAATCTTAATTGAGCACACCCGTCAAAAATTAAAAATAAAATTAAAATAATAATAAATTCAATAAATTGAAGAGGAAAATTTTTAAATCGGAAAAATTATTCTGAAACAATTTTATAATAATGAGTCACAATTTTAATTGAGTTTTATTATAAAAAATTTGTATAGTATCACAATAATTAAATTAAAACATTAACTGGTGCCTAAGAATAATTCGAATTTTTAATTTTGAAAAAATCTAATGAATGATGTGCAGCAAATAACTGAATTTTAATTAAAAGCGTAAAAGTTAAGTAATTAAGCACTGATCTCAAAATCGTTCTTTAAATAAAATTATAATTATATCATAAATCATAATCAATATACATATTTTCTTCAACTAATTGAAACTTTTATTCTCATTATCAATTTTTTTTTTTCGGAATCCGGAATGTTTGTTGAAAGATAAAAATCCAAAATTTGAGGGCGTTGTTGTGCAGGTTGCAGAGTAAAATTCTATAAAATCTTTTACCATTGAAAGAAATGAGCAAATATTTAATTTATAAGCCTGATTTGAAAGGGTTTTAGTGATACTTAGTATGAATTCATGACGTTGAGTTAATGATAAAGAATTGTAAATATGCGATTTTTATCAATTTTCTTCACCAATTATTTCATTTCTTTTAAAAACAGAGGAAAAAAATCTATAGAATTTTAATGTTCAGATTGAATTGAAGAAAATTGGAGAGGGGAAACCATTTTTTTCATTTTTTATTAATGAAAACTTTGAAAGGCTTGTATTTACATTGAATTCTTGCCATTTGAACAATATAAGATGTGGAGCAACTTTAAATTTTTAAAAACTTGTAATTCTCACTAATTATTAATCCAAATCAGCCAAGAAAATCATTTTTTTTAATCAGCTAATTTTTTCATTATAATTTTGCATAACGAAAAGTCATTTACTTTTAAATGTTTTTGATATTTTGTTGAAATGATCGAAAAGTGACAGACAATTTGTGATCTAAATTTGGTTATCAATAAGTTCAATGGAAAAACGAAATAAAATTTTGATTCTTTCGGAACTAATTACGAAATGAAGTCAATTAAAAGTGCTTTTACAATTAAAAAGAATGGGAACTGACCTTTGGGAAGAGTGTGGTCGGAGTCGGTCGGTCTTGTCACTTTTGTTGGTTTTTCGCGCGGCGGTCACTCTTTGCGTGGGAACGGACGCACTACGACTTTGGGGGCGAGCGAGGGTGCACGTGGTGCGGCGGCGGTGTTGACGGGGGTGGCTCGTGTGTCCGCGCCAAATCTCACTGCGACGGGGCTGCACTCGCGGGGGCTGCGTCTTTTCCTCAACACATCGCAACTAATTCTGGCAGATGCATAAAAAATAAAGGCGCGCGACGAGGTTTTATTTTAATCAAAGTTGTTGGAAAAGTAAAAGAGGTGGGGAGGGGGTGTGGGTCCGCCGCCCGCCCGTCCGTCGCGCGTATATGTATAATAAAATATTTTCGCGTTTTTCAACTTCTTCTTCTTGTATTGCACACGCGCATGTGCATGCGTGTTCCTTCTTATTTTTTAAGTTTTTCCACCCGCAACCTATGGTGGTTCTGTGTCTCTCCCTCTCTCTCTCTCTCCCTGGCCTGGCTGGCATACACAAACAGCATTATATGTGTGTGTGTGTGTGTGTACTAACTACACTTTCTTATGAGCAGAGAGAGACAATCGATCAAGCCTTATGAGTAAAAAGGCGGCGGGCGAGAGAGCGCGCGGAGAGAGAGAGAGAACTTTTTAATTTCTTATTGGTTGCCGGAGAAAAATCTTGTGCGCGTGTAAATTAGAAAGCACCACCCTTTTCCCGCGACGTGTACGTTTTTCTCTCCCTGCACATGCTGATGACGCCGGCACAGCCAGAGAGAGAAAGAACACCCCTAGCCCATCCGCCCGAGCAGGCACATCGGCCAAAGAAAGTAGTTAATAAGCACAGCGCTTTCAAACAACCCTTATCCTCAAAATAAAACACTTAAATTTCGCTCAGCCGATCAATTTTAATTGAAAGAGATGATCAAACTAATCAAACAGCTTTTAGGATATTAAAATTTAAATATTTAGCGCGTAATTTTAAATAAAAACAAAGGAGCATTATTTTAAATTTTAAATTTAGAATGAGTCTTTCAGAAAAAACCAACTAAATTTGCTGTTAAAACTCTTCTTGATTTGTGAAAAACAACTCTAAGGTCAAGGAGAAAACAGTATTTAAAGACTCGGAGATATGTGATTGGTCTATTAGGTTCCCCCACCACTTTTCTTATCGGCTTAAACCTCTTAATTTGAGGTTGGGTTCATCTCTGTTTTCACCACGAAACATGTCCCTACATTGGGAACAGCTAAACGTCATTAATCCAATATAATTTAAAAAATTCCCGCCAAAAAAGTTTCAAAAAGTTGTGCAATTTGCTAAAAGTATCTTTTGATGTTTCAAACTGGGCATAAATTTGTGCTGGAAATGATTTTATACTGATAATTTTTAAATTTAAATCGACTTATTAAAATTAAAACTAATAATTAGCCCTTTATGAATAAAATTGCAAAAGTTTGGATTTGAAGAAAGTTCGGAACGGCACTGAGGAAACTCGGCACTATTTGTGGACGTGCAAAACTTTGAGAAAACACGAGGCGGACTGGCGGCCGGTCGGACTGGGCAAAAAGTTGGTGCGCACCAAGAGAGCGGCCGGCGATTTCGGGGAAACAAAAGACGAGCGTCGGCGGCTGCCACCACACACAGACTGATCCACTAGGTTGTTATTTTCTTACTGGCCGTTTGAATGCGCCGCGATATTTAGGAAATGTCTCAAGTTAGTTTGCTGACCGAAGGGTGGGAGACGAGAGAGAGAGATGATTTCGGGGGGTTAATGAGAGGGAGGTGTGGGAGGGGGTCCGTTCAATGGCCATAATATGCAAGCAAACTTCTCTCGCCGCACTCGCACACACAATCCCTTCTCCTCTTTCTTACATACGCCCCCGCCTCACTCACTCGCTCGCATGCCGCCTTAACCAACATGCTCTGGGAGATGCTGATGATGAGGAGACCAGGAGGGGAAAACCGACCGACCGACCGACCGAAGGACCGACCGACCGGACTCAAGACGAAGAACCACTCGAGCGGGCAACTCCTTTCCCTACTCCTGGCTGCCTAGGCCGGATGTTGTTCCTTTCTCTCTCTCTTCTCGCGCTGCCGATTAATTCCACCCCCGCGTGTGTGGCTATGCAACCGGTGCGACGCGCCCGTCCGACCTGCAGCCTAACCTACCCCTTGGCTCTTAAATTTTACCGGCAGTTCTTCTTATCAGCGCGACAAAAGTTTATGAACTGAAAATAAGCTTTGAAAATTTTTAATTAGCATAAACGTAAGGGATTAAACGTTTAACAAAAATCTCTTAAAATTGGTCTAATAAAGAAGGTATTATTTATTTTAAAATATCATTGACTTGAGGTTTCTACATCATGTAATTTTACAACTATTAAAATTATAATTGTTAAATAATGAAAATTTAAACCTTATTTAATCAAATTGTGACATATCAAAGCTTAAGAAAAGTCTATCGAGTATTAATTTAAAAAAGAACCAATGCTTTAAATTTATTTTGTTATTTCATGCAGTTTTTAAATATCCTCAATTAATTAATTAACTTGTGGCGATAAAAGGTGTACATTTCTTAAATGTTCTCATATATATATCTTTCAAGAATTTATCTCAGTAGGAGAGTATTTTGAATTGAATGAAAAAAAAATTATAACAAAGCATAAAAAAACAAAATTTTTTAACCTACAAAACCTTGTATTTGTAAATTTTGACAAAACCGCTGATGGGTTTTGGGTTCAGATTATTGAAAGTTTGTCTCCTTGAATTTCTCGGGGGTATGCGGAGCGAGTCAAGTAGTTGCTCTCTCGATAAGTTTGAATTTGCTGCAAGTTGCGACGACGAGACGCGGAGCGAGGAGAGGAGAGAGGGCCAGAATAAACTCGTCCGTTAGCCCTTGGTTAGACGGAGATCAGTGTTTCGGAAATAATTGATTATTTACCCCACATCTTTGCTGCACTGCCGATTTTCATTCATGTCGTTGAACCCGGGACAATAGTAAACTGCAATAAAATTTCTGATATATGCATTCGATATAAACATCCATCAATGACTTTGCAAATTTAACAGTCGGAAAAGTTGGCAACTTTATTCTCACGACTCTTAAAGTCGTCTTAAAACGTTTCGTCAATGAGTTTTATGATAATTAACACTCGATTGTTGTATTTTTTGTTTTTCGAACCCAATTTGATTCTATTAATTTGTATTACTATTTTCAAACTTTCATCGAACCAGTGCAAAAATTTATTGTATGCAAATGAAGAAGATTATCACATAAATTCTAACCAAACCAAACAAATTTGAACAAAAACTCCTCTGATTTGCTTTCCAATAAAACTGACAATGATACAAAACGTTCCGATTTTGTGTCAATCATTTTTTTCCGCTACGACTTTATTGGAAGGGAAATCATATGAATAAATAGCTAATCACATGCAGATCAGAGATGGGAGCATAATTGAACAATTTGGTCACACGATTTGATTGATTGATGTTGAAAATACCACCGCGCGCTCGGCGGAAAAATGATAAATCGGAAAGAAAAACTGCTGCACCTACATTTCCCCCTAACCATGGTGACATTATCACATTCCCACCCTCGGCCGACGCTCAATTTATTCGTTTACACACGCAACCGTATTGTACGGATCCAATGATGACATCCACGCACGTGTGTCACAATCGATTATTCCAATTCCTGTAGAGAAACAAAAAGAAAATTGACTTTATTTAAACCTTTAACCTTTTCAAGCCTCAAATAACTTATCAAGTAAACTGTCAATTTCAAATTTGCTCCAAGATATCTAAAATTTTAAAATCATTTCCAATAAATTTCTCAACTAATGAGTTGAAAAAAGGTCTAAAAACTGATTAAAAATGAGTGTTTATTTATAATTTGGAACAAATTTCTGATTTGAATTGAAATTTTAAATCATTTTTTTTTTATCCATCTGAAGCTATAACTTTTATAATTATATGTTTGGTGGCACAAAATGTGTGACGTTCGTCAAAATAATTCAAGTCATTCGGCGGCAAGTTGTCGCGCTTTTCCGAGCAAGCAGGGTTTGAAAAATTGATGAGGACGCTTTTCGCTCTCGTGCGCGCATTAATTTTTATTTCGGCGTTTTAAATTATCTTTTGTCGGCGTCAGGAGTGTGTGTGCGTCTGAAATAATGATTGTTGCAGCGGCGGCGGCAGCATGATATCGCGACTCGCTCGCTCGCTGCGCGACTCCCCTCCGTTTTTTAATCCTCCCCTTTCTTAATTTCCTTTTACAACCCTCTCGCTCGCTGCTTCTTTTTTGGACCCCCATTAAGAGGGTGGGTAAGAACCAAGCGCTGCTCGCAAAGAAGAGAAAAAATTAATTTCTTAAAACATGCGTGCGCCCTCGCGAGTTTTAACTCGACGCTGGCTGCACACACTGCTCCCTAATAAAAGAAACGAAAAGCACCCTCGCAAACTCGCAAAGTTGCACAGAGCGAGCGGGTATCGCAGAGGCCAAAATTTTCTTCCACTCGAAAACAAAAGATGCGATAATTTCTCAGACTTGAGCTAATGTCTCGCGCTGTTTTGACGAGCCTCACTTTTGTTCAATTCATTTGCTCTTTTCAATGGATTTAAAGTTACTATAAAAAATTGTATTGGACAGATTATTTGACACCTGTAATGTTTTATTTAAAATTTTGTGATTAATTAAATATTCGTTCTAGTAAAATGTAAATTTTTTACCCCTTTAGGCCAGTTTACATTCTTTGCATTTTATTAAAATAAACACTTTTTCAAAATCATTCCTGAGAATCATTTGTTTCATTAAAATTTTGTATTTTTCAAGTCTGAAACACAAAAATCTTTTTCGTCTTAACATTATAAAAGTTAAAAGTTGTACATGAATTATAGATTAAATGAATTTAATTAAACCTCGCCTTAATGAAGCCAATGTAAATAGCTACATGATTATTTTAAAATGTTTAAATGGTTTAAAATGTTAAAATAGGCCAAAAAGTTGAATTATCGTAAGCTTCTGGAACTTTCAAATATTGCATTATAATTTAAGTTAAAAGAAGGAAATTTAGCAGATTAAATATTTAACTCTGCAAATGATGCAATTTACAGCTTAAATAAAAGAAGTTAAATTGTAATGTATAATGATAAAATTTTCCAAAAATCAAAACATGTTTTTACTCGGTTTTACGAAAAAATTTGCAATAAATAACTCATTTTAAAATTAAAATAATTAAAAATGGAAAAATAATTCAGAATTAATTAATATTAATTAAGAACATTTCACTGAAATTGTTGCTGATTTTTACTTGAATGTCGTTATTTGAAGCCTTTTGCATGTAAATGAAAAAAAGTAAGGAGTGCGAAACTTTTTGCCTGGAAGTTTGAGGCCCACGCGCCGGTTTTAAATGAAGAAATTTTCCCCTCCTGCCTCGCACACACACACGCACTTGTGCAGAGCATTCTTATTTTTGGCATGACAGGAATCGATTTTTAATTACCAGCAAAGCGAAAAGAGGGTTTGAGAAAAATGCGTGAGCATCAATTAGAGCCGCGAGCGAGCGAGCTCCGGCGCGGAGAGAGCAAGCACCCTCTCTCTCTCTCTTTCTCTCTTTCTCTCTCTTTCTGCCTGGGCAAGAATGTGATTTCGTCTAGAATTAGTATGTATTGATCTGAATATGCAGCGCGAGTGTGTGCGAGAGAGAGCAAAAAGCGGCTCCTTTCTTTCTACCCCTGCTTTTTAACAAAGCACAGTACTTAAGCTAAGGAGCAGCCGAGAGAGAGAGAGAAAGAAATTCTCATTTAATGAAAAATGACTTTCCTCCTTACCCCATTTGCTCCGACACACAATTCCTGTATTTCTCTCTCTTGCTCCGTTTTTGACAATGACATAAATTATTCCAAAACGAAACACAGCAGCCGTCGCAAACGCCACTGGCAATTATTATTAAAATTTTAATTTATCGCCGCCGCCGCCGCGTTTTGTTTTCTTTGGCCGAAATTTGTTGAAATTATATTCCGAGAGGGTTGCATGTCTGCGACCAGATAAACCACCCCTAATTGCCTGAATGAATAAATATTCACTTACGTTCGATTGATTCGGAATTTACTTTTGAATCCCTCCCGCGGCTATTTTCGGCCGCCACTTACTCTTAATTACACAATTATGGTCGGCTCGTTAATTTGCGTTGGTTGCTCTGCCGAGTTTGACGCCTAATTATCACCACTCGCCATTCATTCGCGCCTCCAATTACTCTCGGCCTTGCACGTCCAAACCCAATGTAATCTCATTTTTAATAATCATAAAATTTTAAATTGTTTATAATTTTTCTCTTACAATTAAAGTTAGTCCGTGGACCAATCATACTTTCGATCTGATGGTCAGAATGCAAATTTTCAAGTTCCGTTATGGAATTTTTTATCAATTGACAATTTTAGTCTGGCAGATTTAGAAAAAAAGCATTTTTTTTTTTTTTTAATTTTCCGTTAAGCAATGTTCATTTATATAAATTCAGTTGAAAATCATTAAATTCGTCTGAATTTTCTTGCACATCTTG